TGACGACCGCTCCACAAATTATCCGAAATAGCCATTCATTTGTATCAATCTTGTATCGTTTCAACGGGTAATGTAGATGTTTATTCCTGAATAGCTAATTCTCGTGATTGCAGAAATGATTATTATTTAAGTAACAAGTTATGATCTAAGACTAACCAAAAGAAACGGTTGTCACCGTCCGAAGAGTTTGAGCACTTATGAGATCTGACGGTTAAATCAATACACCGACTGGCGTCGTCCTGAGAAGCGTAATAAAAACTGCCCGATGAAAACAGACGCAAGACCTGTAATGAATTAAAGTCCAGATATAAAGAGAATACAAACTTTATACCGTAACTTTAGGACGGCCGAGAGCGGAGTAAAAAAGAAAATAACCTAATACTACCCGTCATTCTGAAAATTAAAACAATTTTTCGGATAGCAGTCATAGCTGCTTCAAAATTCAGATGATGATCTTTAAATCTTAATCTACCATAGCTGACTCTAAAAAACTGAAATGATTTCAACTGGCTGCAATTAAAACTAATTTTATAGCTTACATCATTTATACGTGGATCCGTTGGATATGATGTAGTAGGTCGTTTGAGTGATATCGCATTTACACCCCAAATTCGATAAATTTTACAGTTGCGCAATTCACCAACACTTTCATCTTCAGTAACTGCTAACAGGTGAGCATCATCTGAAGCTTTATCTTTGCTACAGAAGCTCATACTCATATGACACTACACTACTTAGATTTCAGTTGAAATGTTGAGTAAATTTCCGGAAACAGCCAAATCCAACACAGTTTTAAGATGAAGTAAGAAAGAACAGAAAAGGAACCTTGACCTGTTCGTAGCACACCCAGCAAACCTCTGGCATCCATAAGTTTCGTATAGTTCTTCCTTAATTCTGACACTGACTCAACATTTGCTAGAAACATCAGATTAGAATATGAATTTCGAAAAAGCTGAGAGCTTTTAAAGAATTACTGCTTTAAAAGCCTCTTACTCTTTTTGTATCCAAATCCAAGGATTTAGAAAAAAAAAAAAGAAAGATTGGGAAATAACAAATACCAAGAACCAGGAGAGTTCAATTTCAATTGTTTTCTATCAGGCTATTGTACTATTGCTTCTGTTAATAAAGGAATTATTATAATCCTCTGTTACCCCATATATTTACTCGCTGCGATCAACAATCTCCTCCAAAATAATAAATTAAATTATCAAATCTTTCACGACAAAGGAAGAGAGGATAACTCAACTTTTGGAAGTTTTAATAATTTACTGAGTTCACATATTTTTACAATTATCGACAAACCTACTGTTTGCTGAAATCAACTTTAATATAAAATTTTCAAAATATGGAAGGCCATACAGATTGTCGCAACCGCCGAAGATTGAAACAATAACATTTTTCTCGTCTTTTGAGATTCCACGGTGACGCTGTACGGTTCCGAAGCGACATCTCGATGAGCGATTCGTATTGCAAAACGATGTGACATCTTTAAATTATTTGAAGCAAAGAAGAAAAATAGATAACGAATTTCTATCCAATAAATAAATAAGAGTTGTGGTAGATAACAGCCAAATCGGATGCTTCAGGCATATATGCAATATAACCATTCCGAAACTGATACAGGAAAATCCTCACTTTGCTCTGACGAAGAGCAATTATTAAACTGTTATTTCTGAAAACATCCTTTACTTATTAGATTATACTAATTAGTTCACGATTCACAACTTCAAATTTCAATTCAATTTATTTATTCACCAGAAAAAAAAAAAAACTTATCCCTTTTTCGTTTTTTTCGATGCATATTTCAAATAAAAAAATTCCCAGTTTAAAGCAATTATACTAGAATATAAATAACAATTAGAGCATTAAAATTAATGAAAACATAGTCATATTTTCATTAATTTCTTTAATAATAATAAAATTTAAGATGATTAGCATTATTTCGTTAGCAATTGAAAAGATTCATATGAATACTATTATTTTATAATAATAACATTAATAATACATGTATATCAATAGAAAAAAGTACTACCATTTTTAGACGAATTGAGAAGTGATAAGATTAAGCGATATGATAAGGATGACAATGATGAAACTAACAATCACACATACACATAATTACAACGAATGATATTAATAATAAACAACGCAAAAGTCTCTTGGTGTAGGTTTGGAGGCATATTGCGAATGCGTTATTTTTTTTTCTAATTTTTCATTTTATAATACTTTAATTGACTTTAAGTAATGTTGGAAATTTAGAATGCTAATGAAAATAAGGAGAGAAAAATAATAATTTTACAACTAATTTTATTTTTTTACACCATGCAAAATGATTGTAATGATAATTTGGAATTTTATTTTATTTTTTTATAATTTTTAGTTTTAATGTTATAATTTTTTTCATATACATTAAATACATAAGGCATGTAACATATATTTTCAAAATTTTTCAATGTTTTGTAAGAAGAAACGAAGGCAACCATTTATTTTCAATGATTTCAAAAAATTTTCATCAACAATATATCTTTTTTTTTTTTTAATGTGTATGTCTGTGTCTGTCTCTGTGTATGTGTATGTGTGTGTATTTGTAATAACAAACAACAGGCGTAATTTTACTTTGTAATTTCAAATCTCATTTATTATTTTATTTAAAATACTTGTTCGTATTTCACGAATACGTATTTTAAAGAAGAGCAAAAAAAAAAAGCTACTTTAGGAGGTAACGAAACTTCAAAAAAAAGCTACTTTAAGTGGTAATAAAACATCAAAAAAAAGCAGCAAAATAATTCAAATAAAACTAAAGAAAAAGTTTTTACCACTAATTATTTTTAGTAAAGTAACGAATGACATAATATTGGTACTAAAATCATATTAATTTATCTAAAGAAAAATCTAAACTCATCTAAAAAAATCTAAACTCATTTGAGACTAACAGTATTTTAGTAATCAAAGGAAGAGGAAAATGAAGCATATTAAATGTGAAAAAAAAAAAAAAAAATTTTTTTTTTTTTTGAAATATGAGTTGGAATGAAAAAGGTTTAATTTTGATACTTATAGGCTTACTATATATGAGCCTAAGTCTAAATGTAAGCCTAAGCCATATATTTCCTTTCTTTTTTCCTTGTTTGTCCAATTTTACTATGCTTCTTTTTAAATTTCACATTTCTATTCTCTCTCCTTTTTGAATCTACTCTTACACACTATCGATTTATTTTTATTGGTAATTTGTTGTGTATCGACAAAAAAAAAAAGAAAGAAAAGAAAAGAAAAGAAAAAGATATTAAAATTGAAAAAAGAGGGGAAAAAATTATTGTTTCTTCATTTTATTCTCATACTTAATAATTTAATAATTCTAACATTATCACTTTTTTTATAAAAATAAAAAAGTAGGTGGAGAGAAAGAAAGAAAGAAGAAGAATAAAAGAATAAATAATTTCACAATTGATAATCATTTAATGAAAGAAGAACAAAGATAAATTCGAAATAATAAAAATGATTGAAATTTTTTTTTACATTTGAAATAACAGCTTTACTCTCTCTTTTTCTTTTTTCTCTTCTTTCCTTCTCTTTCTCTCTCTATCAATTTGTTTTGTGGCAAATAAATATCAAAGGTATAATGGTTCGTCGTAATAAACCCGGAAATGTTTATACATAAAAATATATGTAAATGGAATATTTTTTTTATCCATGACTAAATTGAATTGAAATTTTAATGCAAATTTATAATAGGTGATATTTTATAGGGAAAGAAGCGCAAAAATTCAATTATTCCATTGGAAATGATTCATTTATTTATTTGTATTATATTATGTGATGATATTCTATGCACATTTAGCTAAAATTATTGTTGTTTTTATCACTTATAATTTCATTTGTAATTTTTTCAACAAAAAAATTAAGATAAAAAGAAGACTAAAAAAGACACTCTTGCTTTGTTTTAATATAGACCGAATAATTCATATTAATCAATTAATTAATTAGTTTTACCTTGCTATAATTTAAATAACGTATTGGTTTTTTGTAATAAATTTTTTATAAATATAATGATGAGTAAAGCTTTAAATTTTTTTCTTTTTAATTTTAAAATAATAAAATGCGATCATTTCTTACACCAAGTAAAAATTATCCTTCTTCTATAATATCATTGATTTAATGGAAGAATGCATGCATAAATGTATAACATTTTTTGCAATAACTATGCATTAATTTTCCTTTTCATCATCATTCATTTATACCGAGAATTTAGAAATTCATGCAATTAGAAATGCTTGCAGTGCATGCGGTCATGCATTTCTAACTTACAATTTCGTACCTAGTATAGCTATAACAAATTGTGTGTGCATGTGTGTGTGTGTGTTGTTTGTTTGTATGTGTTGTGTTATGTTTGCGTATGTATATAGGAGCGCAATTATTTATGTCAGTCAAGAGTGTACGAGTGAAAATATATGCGCCATCATGTGATCAGTATAATCGTTGTGGCGTTATTGTCTAATGACGTTAGCGATTTTATCCGTTCATTTTGAACTTTGATTTAAAATTAATGGAAGATTTTGTTCAAAGATGTTAGATATGATGCTGTTTGATATCATTCCCCATCCTATGTTCTCTTCGTTTCTTCAATTTGTTATCGTCGAAATTTCATCTCATTTATCCGTTGTGTTATTTCATCCTTTAATCTTTAATCTTTTTATGTGTTAATTTTTAACTTAAATTTGAAGTTAATTTAAATTAATAATGTAGATATGAAATGTATTTTTGGATTTCTTATTTAAGAAAATTTTCGTGTTATATTTTATGGTATAATAAACGATTCTTTATTTGATCCTCTCAAATGATATTTATAATTGAAATATTGGAAACTTTTCATCTTCCAAATAGTTCCCAAAAATCATTCATAAAACGAACAAACGGAGAGGAATTGGATTATGTTGAATAAATAAAAAGATATTATATGGTTAAAAATTTTAGCTTACAAAATTTTAGCTCTTTTCCGAACAATTATGGATTATATCTTACTTACGGTTTGGAATATGGTAATCCTGATTGCATCAGTTATTATTTATACCGGATGTCGACGATCCTATTCCATCTATTTTTTTGAGGTTCAAAATTTTAATCCTTATCTTGCATTAAATATGTATGTTTTTAGAATTCTAGTAAGATTTTTAAATCGGATTTGAAAATTTTAATTTCTGATTTTAAAATTTATTTCAGCGTGATGCAAAAAGAATCATATTCCTGGAAGATGCAGGTGCAGTTGCTGTCCCAGTAGTATTGTCAGTTTTATTAATTATCTTACATTATAGTTTAAAACTGTCTGGTAAGAATGATATGGAAGAAAGAACGGAGCAAAAACTGCCTCAAGTAAGTTTTTCATTGATTCATTTTAAATGTACTGGTTTTCTTTTTTTCTTTTTTTTTTTTTTCAATCTTATTTTTATTCAAATTACCACTTAGGTATTGATTGTAAGCAACAGTGATTTCAGTCACGAACATCAAGTGTATCACGTCAGTTAACAAGAAAAATGCCTATAAAATTGGATAGTATTTCAGAATCAGTTGTTGCAGGCAGTAAATTTTTTCTCTCTTTTATGAAACATTAAGCATTAAAGTTATTTTTTTATTGTTGGATTCGATAAATTTTACAAAGTTTTAATTTTATTAACAGGAAAGTTGATAAAGAGTGTTTCTTCAATACTGAGATTTAACTTAATATAGTATGAATTTCGGTGTTTTTTATATTGAATTTATTGTTTACATTGAACTGAGTGTGATAATGATTACAGAAATTTGTTACATGATTCCCATTATTTTATTGCATGTAGTAACAGTGACTTTTTTTATTGATGGAAATGAGAAAGAGATGAAGACAAAACAAAGTGAAGATTTGCCGAAAAAGATGGAAAGTGTGGATGGTTCAAATTCAGAAGAATATTTGATTAGTGATGAAATTCTTTCAACCTCTTCACTTAAGAATATTTCGAAGCAGTTAATTCAAGGTTAGTGATTTTTTTACTTTATTTTTTATTTTGATTTTTTTTTCTTTTTTTTCTCTTAATTTTATTATTTTTCTTTTTACTTTCTGTTTTAAAGAAAGCAAAGAAGTAAGTGAAAATATTGCTGAAACAGAATCTACTGGTAGAATTGATCAAGAAAATCCATCTAATCGGACAGCATCATTGCAAAGGAAATCTTCTATCTTAAGCGATCATGAACTGGATGTTGAACGTAAGCGATCTCAAATATACAAAAAGATGGGCAAGGTTTGTTTGTGAAATTTATCGGATGAATTATTGAATGAAATTTTAAATGAAAAATTTTCAACGTTCTATCGACATTCTGTTCAGGTCACTTCCTTGCCAGCAATGAATGAGATGGTAACAGTTATGCATTTTTCATCAATTAACATATCAAAGCGATCCGTTTTGAACATATTTGGTCAGCTTATTTCTATCCATATACCAATCTGGTTCGGTGTTATTGCTGTACAAATCACAGTGGTTGAAATATTCGATAATAAATTCTGTGAGTTCTAGCACTGATTTAATATACATTTAAGAGTTTAATTCTCTAATCAATAAGTTTTACATTGAAGCAGAATGCGGTTATCCTTAATTCCATATTTTATTTCTATACCGTAAATAAGACATAATAAATAGGATGTAAATTGTCCTGTTGTTAAAGAGTATATGTCTTACTTTTGTTGTTTTTTTTTTTTTTAAATCTTTCTATCCTTGGTTTTGTTTGCATCTTCATTTCGAAGATATAAATGTAGGATAGATAAACTTGAATAGTTCTGCGGATTCAGAATAAAACCACATCTTCAAAATATTTTTAACTTTGCATTCGTAATGAATGCTATAATGTGGAATTCCGTTGAGTCTTAAAATTTTTTGATATTTCATGTTCCAAAATCTGGAGAAAAATGAATCTTGAAGAATTCTTATAAACTTAAGGGGCATTTTATCTTTTGTTTTTTGTTTTGAAGACTTTTGTCAAATTTTTTTTATACGGATTATATCAAAAAAAAAAAAGAAATGAAAGTGCAAAATTTTAAATTTTGTTTCAAGCGATTGTTGCTGAAAAGATTGAGCATTTAGTAAGATCCATCTTTTAATGAATGAATATAAGATTTATGATAACGAGTGAATGTATGATTTGTTTTTCATTCTGATAGCGATCTAATGTTGTATTTTTTCTTTAAATGTCAAATGTTGCCAAAATATTTCCTTTGTTACCAATAATCCTTCTTGTTTTTTTCCCTTTTTTTAACTTTAATTTTAAATTGGATTATAGTTTAAATTTGAAAATTTCTTGACACATTTTAGTTCAAATAAATAATTTACAGATCAGTTATTTTACTACCATCATCCTAGAATGAAGCAACTAGCAATGGTCATCGCTGTATTATTAGGACTTTTTCATGAGGTGAAGTGGACATGGGTTGTTAATGATATGTTGGGTATTGCAACATCTTATGTTATCATTGCACGTATTGAAGTAAGTTCAAATAATTTAAAAAAAGAAAAAAGAAGTTGTGTAAGATATGAAGTGATGTTTTTGTGAGATCTAGGTTTATGATATAAATATTTAATAAATGTGATACTGTTTGAAAAAGTTATACTTTAACATTTAGCATAATGTTATATTACAAAAACTTGATGATCTTTCAGAATTCTTGAAAATTGAATGAAATCTTATTTTCTTATGGTAATTCATAAAATTTTCATTAAATAACCTTTTTTTTTTTTTTTTTTCGATGCACAAATATCGACATTATTTTCAGACAGCAAGTTATTTCGCTGGTTTCTTGTTTCTCCTTGGAATGATTTTGTTTGATATATTTTGGTTCTACTGTTTCGATCTTTTCTGTTGGTTTTTTCTTGTAATCAAGGCTTGAAGTTGTTATTGTGCTTTAACATCGCTCAAATTTTCAGAACAAAACCTATGAGAAAATCTAATTTATGATTTGAAAATTTTGTTTTCTAATTCCAGCAGTGGTGACGAAACATTCTCGTTCACCGCTTATGTTAATCATTCCATTGGGGAAAAGTCAAAGACCGGCTAGCATTTCAGTTCTTGATATTATAGTTCCAGGTGAATTTTTAGCTTCTTTCTGAACTTTAAGGTTTTGATTGAGCTAATTTAAAACCAATTTTTACCTCTCAAATTCTTTTTTTTTTGGCTATTCCGAAATAGTTTCATGCAACTATTATGACTTCACACCATATATGTATGTTCAAATGTGTTGTTGATGAAATCTATAATAATAAATAGATGGTTGTAATTTATTCTTTAAACGAAATTGTAAGGATATCATATACTAAAGAAGTAACAAAGAGTGAATATTGTAACTGATTATGATTGCAATATTTTGCAGGGATTTTCCTAAATATTTTATTGAAATTTGCGGAAATGTACGATAGTGAAGTATTCGTCTTATCTTTTTACGCATGTATTTTTGGTCTCTTGATTACTGAATTGATAACATTATTGCAAAGAAAATCAACACCGGCAATAGTTCTTCCTGGAATTTTTGCTCTATCAGCTTCGATGCTTAGCGTTGAAAATCCATCTGATTTATGGCGATTTGGAATTAAACATTAAATACTTTCAACCATCGATCAGCAGAACATATCTTTTCTTTGATGTTCATACCCGTCTCGATTATTTGATACAAGACACGAAAATATACATACTTCTTAGAACTTTTACTGTTGCTTTTATCTGATTACTGCTTTTATATGTTCTGAGGAATAAGTTTTGCATTTATACGTTTGTACTGGTGCTTTATGACAATTAATAGTTACTATAGTGCATTAGGTTATTGATATATGTTGTATTTAATCCAAAGTATCCGTGTTTATATCAATTTTTTCTTCAGCCTTTGAAGTTGCTGAGTGGAAATCCTATGCAAATTCCTATGTATTGGATTTTTTTTCTTTTATTTATTTATTTTTTTATTTATTATTATTTTTTTTTGAAGCATTTTACTGGACATCCATTCATGTTTGGCACATGTGACCTCTTGAAAATGAGCTCTTAATTGGCAATTCCTTCAAAACACTAGAGTGACTTCACTGCACTATGGCATTTTAGAAATTAAAATTCAGAAGTACGTGCCTTCGACGATACTTTTGTATATTTTGCAGACTTGTAGCATGATTTTTGATAGTTTTTATCAAGTCTCAAATAATTTTGGATTACTGTTATGTAGGACGTATTACGAAAATTAAAATTTTTTTTTCATGCTTCTGCGAAATGCTTTATAAAAAATTCCTGGATATTTTTAACCATCACATAAGTTTTCACTATTGGGACATGTAATCTTGCTTACCGAGTCGGCAATACTTCTCAGTTGATCTAAAATTAATTTATATCCTGTCCAGTAACTATCCACTAAGTACGGGAGGTTGTTCATTTCGCAGTATTTTTTGACTTTCACTGATACTCGAGGTAAATTTGCACGGGATATTGTAGGAAACAAGTGGTGCTCAATCTGAAATATTTAAACATATAATATTTTTTATCAAATTTTGAGAAATATTTCTCGAAATGTAGGAATGTTTACCAGAATGCATGCTAAAATTCTTTGGTAATAATACTAACTATTTTAGGCAAACGTATATTAAAAAGAAAAGGAATTTACAGTTAAATGTCACCTGATAATTTATTATTTTAGGCAAAACATAGAAAAGAATTCACAGTCAAAAGTCACCTGGTAATTGAGGCCACCCCAAAACCAATCAACGATCGGAGATGGTAACATATTGCGAGTTGTCAGTATATGAAGGCACGGGAAATTATTCAATAAACGACTTTGATCTGAAATAGAAATAACTGAAAACATTTTATCTCTTGTGAATGATGATAGCATTAATTTGATAAAATGAGCAGTTAAATGATAACAACTAACCAATTATTATTTTCATTTATATCAATGACTTCGCACATATAATAATTACATTTCCATATTTAATTACAGATATTTCTTTATTCATTACATTTACTATATTATTTCAGTTTAAATAGACATAAATGATGTATTTTATAAACTTACAAGGAAATTTTGTAACAGAATTGTGACTGTAAGTAACAACATGAGCGATAAAAAATCCAGCGCCCAATTGGCTAATTGCAAAATATAAAATTCTTATTGATCCTGTAGGAAGAAGCCATAATTGAAGGAAAACCCATGACCAGTGTAATAAGATGCAAACCTGGATAATTACAAACAATTATTTAAATTTGAATAACTACAAAAAAAAAAAAATTGTTCGTGGTCAGAGGAACAAAGAATGGGTTAGTAGATTTACAAAATGAAAAAAAAATTTTTTTTCCTTTCATTTGGAATATGTTTGCATATGACTCATTACTTTGCTTCCTTTTTCCTTTAAAATAAATCTTTGGCTATTTCATTTAAAATGACCACCTGTTCAGCAGGAGCATTAATGACATGTTGCTTGTACTGATTGTATGGTGCACTAATGACAAACAGTATAGATTGTATTGTCCAGGAAAATCGTAGGAAAGGTAGCATAAATGTGAAATATAAATGTTGGTAAGGAATTACCTGAAATGAACAAAAACAAACTTTAGTAAATTATTAGTAGTAAAATGCAACAAAAAGAAAAGAAAGTCTGATTTGCAAAGATTAATACTAAAAACGAAAAAAAAGAGTGAACAGAATGATTTAAAAGAAAAAATGTATGAAATTTTATTTGTTTAACCTTTGAGATGATTTGTTCAAATAAACTTTTGTACTTTTTTAGATCATCTGGAACAAATGCTAACAAAGGAGCTAAATCAATATCACCATCCTGAAATTCAAAAAAAAAAAAAAAAAGATTCTTTTTACATTTATCAAAATATCATTAAGAAGATTTAAGCTATTTAAAAAAAAAAAAAAAAAAAAGGAACAAATTATGAATAAATAAACTAACTAACTTGTCCAACAATATTTGTTGCTGCATGATGAGTATTGTGCTTTTCTTTCCACCAATCACGCGAAAATCCTTGTACAATATTACCAAAAATTAAAGATAACAAATCATTATTTTGACGATTTTTGCTTGGCTGTTGATGACAAAAATCATGTGTTAACCAGCCAAATTGTTGCCAACAAAGTGCTAAAACTATTGCTGATGTCAAGTACCTAAAAACAAAAAAAAAAAAAAAAAAAGAAAATTTATCATTTCTTTCTTCCCTTTTTTCCTTTTCCTTTTCCTTTAGCTAATTTTTATTATGATTAGATATAAATGATCATCACTCGTACTGTTTTATTTTTAATAAGAAAATCAAAAATGATTGATATGATAGAAATTAAAGAAAAAGAAGAAAAACAAAAAAAAAAAAAAAAAAAAAAAAAAACAAAATTTAATCACCATGTAAAATATTGTAGAATAAAAGCAAATAATAATAAGCCAAATGCTTCCGCAGATTTATAGATGTAATAAGTTGAATTTACATCAAATAAACCTTCAGCTATAAGTTCTTCTCGTAAGGCAATAAAATTCTTCACTATTTGCTTTTCCTAAACAAAAAAAAAAAAAAAACAATTATATTAAGAATAATTTTTAACTTTTTTTTCGCCGAAAAAAAACCATTTTATTTTTAAGAAATTATGTGGTAATGAAAATTCTTCATTTTTTCATTTGCTAATTTTGATACCTTTGTTTCTGATAGATTATAGGATGATACATTTATTTCATCGATGCATTTATCATCTGAAATTATTATTGAAATTTAGAATCATACATGAGTTATATGTAAAATGTAATAAAAATTCTAACTCTTAGTATTATTAAAAAAAAATATCTAAATTTTACCATTTAGTAATGATTTTGCGTTAATTAATAACAATATAATAATAATTATTATTATTAACAATAATAATAATAAACAATTCTAACCATCGTTGGTATTAAACCTATTCATATTATCAATACAATTTCGTTTTTTAAGCAATTCCAACTGCTTATAAGCACTTTTGCTTCCTTCATGAAAAGCATGAAAAACTTGTGTTGCATCAGCATCCCTGAAATTTTGCAGAAAATTAAAAATTGACATATTTTAATATTATTTTTTCACCATTAATGTAATTTAATTAATAATATCAATGATTCAAAGTTTTTTTTCAAATCGAACTTCAATATTGTCGATATAAAAATCCATATAGTTTAATAAAAATGATGGATTTATTTGCTAGCAAAATGATGGGTATTAATTGATGACACTTTATTATGGATGAATAACCAATAAATAATTTGTATATAATTTTTCAAAATAAAATTAATTACTAACAAATTTATTTGAAAATAAACCTGTAATGAATGATAACACTTCCACCTGGATGTCTCTTTTGGAAATCCCTTGTTATTAATAGCCATTTTCCATCAATCTTTAACCGAAAGTCGGTACCATCTTCATCCATTATTTTCTATATAAGGAAATTTTTGAAAAAAAAAAAAAAAAAGAAAAAAAAGACGACTAATTATCAATAAATAACAATAAGTAATATAAGTAACATTTCAATAAATATTCAGAAATAACAGGAAAACAAAACAAAGTAGATTAACATTTAAATATTATAAGTGAAAATTCAAAGCACAAAATAGTTTCAGTTATCATTTAAATTATTCCAAAAATTATAACAGTGCTAGGAGAAAGTAATGAATGACATTTTAAATATAAAAATATGAGCAATGATATTTTCAAGCAAAAAAAGAAAAAAAAGAAAAGAATTGAAAAAAAAAATGCACTGATAATATTTCATTTTATCTTTTAAATACACTGATCAACGGATTTTTTTCCGTTTTTTATTTTTTTTATATTTGAATATTTGATTTTCCGCTAGTGCTGCTGAAATTTTTGAAAGCATTTGGAAAATAGCCAAAAAAAAAGAGATTTTTCAAATTTTGGGTTAAAAATTTTAAATGTTGTACGAAGGTGTTTCAATTCTTGGACTTTAATTTCATTCATTACTATAACTGTTATAATTTGGAAATGACATTTTAAATATAAAAATCAATAATTTGGAAAAAAAAAAGCTAAAAAAAAAAATTAGTACAAATTTTTTGAACTGAAATTTGGAGTGTCGCATATTAATATTTCAATTTTAAACATTATAATTTCATATTTACTAATCATTCCAAAATTTAGGAGTAAATTTAAATTAGAGAAATGCTTAAATTAGAAAAAACAAAACTATACGACATTAAATAATGCATAAAATATGTATGATAAATGGAAAATGATATTATAATGAAGATGCAAAAATAATGAATGTGATACAGAAAGAAAGAGATCAAAAAAAACGAAAGTGAAAAAAGAAAAAAAAGAAAAAGGTGAAATAAAAAAGAACGAAGTAGAAATTATTCATATAATTTATAAATAATATAATTAATTCTTCTAATGAAATTAATGAAAAATTTTTTAGAAATTTCACAATCATCAATTGAGAAATGTTTGATTGAAAAATTTTGATGAAATAAAATAGACGGAAAGTCAAAAGAAAGAGAATGAAGCACATTTCGACAAAAAAAGAGGAGGGATGATAGGGTAAAAGATGATATCAATGATGACAATGACGACGATAATGATAATAATAATAATAATGATAGTGATAGTAATGATGATGCTGATGATGATGATGATGATAGTGATGATTATGATGACGGTGATAATGATAGTAATGATGGTGATGACAGAGAATGCTGGTAGTATATGGAGGGCTGATTTTCAAAAATTGGTCTTCGAACTGTCTTGTAATTTCTATAGCAAAATTTTCTTCAATCGGTCAATTAATTGTTTTACATATCAATCAATATGGTCAGTATACTTTGTTGCTCCATTGTGAATAGTTTTCAAATTTTAAAATTTTTGTAAATTTTTATTGAAATGATTAATTATTTTTAATATTTTTTTTTATATTTTTTCTTTTCTTTTCTTTCTAATAAAAAAAAAGAAAAAAAAATTCTTAATTAAAATTTAAAAATTACAAAAATTCATGAAGCAAAAAAAGATTGAAAATGCAATTAGTTCGATGTGTAATTGCATTCATGATATTTAAACAAAAAAATTTCATAACAAATATTTGTTTCAGCAAAATGTTGTAATATCAATAAATATGTGTTGGTAAATTTTTGAAATGAGTATGGAAATTTTTGTAAACAGATTTATTTAACACACTAATACATCAAAAGTTGCATATAAAAAATTTATGATAACAAAATTATTTGTCAAAACATTTTTTATGATCACAATTTATTACCATAACATATGTCAATTTTTACATTACAAAAATTTATTTCTTCTTTATTTCCTTTCTTCTTTTTCTTTCTTTTTTTTTTTTTTTTTGTTTTGTATTTTTAATTTTTCATTTCTCATATGTTTTAATTTCGATAACAAATTTGTTGAGCTAATTTTGCAACAGCAGCCATTTGTTGAATTTCCATTAGCCATCCTTCAAAATATCCATTTACCATATAAGGTAAATTATTTTCCATGCAAAATTCTTTCACTAATGGCATTACCTAAAATTGAAAAAAAGAAATTTTTTTTTTTTTGTATAATTTGAATTATTTTTTAATACTTTTTACTAATATAGCACCTAATCAGCTATCCAATGAATCTTAAAATAAAACAAAAAAAAAAAAAAAAAAAAGAACGAACAGGAAAGAAAAAAGAGAAAAAAAAATTGGCTAACCATTTTTAAATTGTGTCTTGGCATAGATGGAAATAAATGATGTTCAATTTGATAATTTAATCCACCCCATAACCAATCAATTAAAATTCCTGGTCGCATATTTCTGGTGGTATAAAGTTGCAAACAGACGTAACTTTTTAAAATTTGATCATCATCTGTAAATATGCTATAATAAACTTTCAAGTCATTGATTGCTAAAATAGCATCACTTTATTTATTAATAATTTGCTTACTTCTAAATTTTGGTGTGGAATAATGATTGTAAGTAACAACGTGAGCCAAGAGAAATCCCGCAAATAATTGTGATATGAAAAAATAAATTAATCGTATTTGAAATGTTGGTAAGTAATAAAGTTGAGTGAAAACCATGCACCAATGTAGCAGCAGAGCTAAACGTTCAACTGTTGCCCTTTCTCTATGAATCTGCAATAACAATGATAATGATAACAATAGTAATAATAATAATAATAATAATAATAATAATAATAGTAATGTGTTGATATGGTATAATAATAATGATAATAATTTGCTTAAATCTTTTTTTTTTTTAAATTTTAATTCATATATTAACATTTTTAAATAAACAATAACTAACCTCAAAAGGACTATTTGGCATATTTGCAACAAAAATGATTGATTGCAAAAGCCATGAAATTCGTAAAAATGGGAAAGCAATCGTCCAATAAATGTGCTGATATGGTATAATTTTTAATATCCAACTTCCTTGCATTTGCTAAAAACAAATGAACAAATTACAAAGAAATAATTTGAGCATATCAATATGTAATTTTTCAGACTAAATTAAAAATGATGCTATTTTAGAGTGAATATTATAAAAATCAATTTTGAAATATTATGCAATATTGTAAAGTATACTTACTTGTAGATCTGATGGTACAATAGCCCAAAATGGTAATAAGTCAATGTCACCATCACGTCCAATAACATTTGTTGCTGCATGATGCATATTATGTTGCTCTTTCCAACCACCACTTGAGAAACCTTGTAGTAAATTTCCAACAATATATGATATTAAATCATTCCAATAATGACTCTACAAATTTTCATACAATTATAAGATTAATAAAATATATCGTCATGATATATTATAAATAATTTAAAGTTAGTTAAAAATTGCAGTTTTTTTCTTTTTTCATTTTGGGAATTTATGTATTTTTTATTTTTTAAACTTTATGACGAATTGAATGACTGAAATGATTGGACAAAATATGGATAACCCTGAAATGTTGATGATGGGCATATTCATGAATCAACCATCCTAACTGTTGCCAAGCAAGTCCCAAGATCAGTGCTGATAAAATGAATCGTTGTTGCAGTTGGAAAAATATTGCTAATGATAGCAAACCAATTGCTTCACATATTTTACGAACATAGAAAGCATTACTTGCTTCGAAAAATCCCAATTTTTGCATCTGAAGTTTGCAAAATTTCTGCAATAAAAACTAAAAAGTAACAATAATATAATAACACTAATAATTAATAATAACATAAATGCTAATATTATTAATTATACTAATACTAATTACTATTCTTAATGCTAGTATCACAACTATTATTATACTACTACTTGTAATAATAATAATAAAATAAGTAAACAATAATAATAACAACAACAAAAGTAATAATAATCATAAAAAAAAATACGAACTGATTTTCAAACTTTTTTAAGAATCACACGATTTTTCATGCACAGATAACCTTCAACGTAAATATATTTACTTTAAAAATGATAATTTAATAAACAAATAATTGCCTCTTTATTTCTAAATCCTTCAGTTAATTGTAATACCAAATACTAGTAACATTAAACTTTTACTTAATGCAAAATGTGAATGGAATAATTTTGAAATTGAAAGATAAAATGAAAAAGCAAAATGTTTGTCTTTTCAATAAAATTGTGAAAAATCAAGTAATGATTTATCATTTTAATTTCAATAAGTGTCATAAACAAAAATTAGTAACCTTGATTCTGAAACGATTAAAATTCTGATTAATCGTTTCGATACGTTGCTCATCCAAATTCCAATTGCCAACAACTTCATCACTTAACACTGATAATGTTTTCGACACTTCCTTTTTGAAAATTTTGAATTATCGATTAATTTGAAATGTTAAAAACTCCATGATGATAACAGTTTGTCGATGATCTACTACGATTATTTGTTTCGATCAGCAATAATCAATGATCGAAACTGATAAGCGATAAGAACTAATGATCATTGGACCTGTTCCTTTGTTGGTTCATAGTCGACATTATTTGCTGATATTTCCGTTATCATTTGATATGCCAATTTAGAACCAGAATGAAATATATGAAATGCTGTAGTTGCGTCAGTTTCACGATAAGCTGTCATTGCAATACCACCTGGATGCTTCGCCAATGTTTCTTGATCGATATACAACCATTTACCATTGATTTTGATATGGAATGGTTCTGTTATCACTTGACGTATTACCATATCTACAATTCCGGAAATGATTCCTGATTAACGTTGTACTTTAGATTGTACATTTGTACTTTCAAAACGTCTTATTTCAAGTTGATGAAATAGAATCCTGGAAAAGATTTCTTGATGAAACAGCCATCATAGGTGAAATGATAGTCTCTTTTCAACAAGCTTAGAAGGACTCTTATCATATCCAATGATAACATCACATCATCATTAATATTAGTTGCTATTATTATCATTACGACAACTGTCATTAGTCATTTCAAATAACAAAATATGTAAATCCAATGACAAATATGTGCAGCAATTTGATAATAAGACTGAACAAATTTAATGTATGAAATAGATAAATATTGTAGACGGATGTAAAAAACAATCAAATATGCAGGGATATGATCAAAGTTAGGAATGTTACAAATTATTTCAAATATAACTTTTTATTTTTCTGCTATAATTCAAAAAAAAAAAACAACATGAGGTTGAATGTAAACTTTAATGTAACAAATTTTTACAATCAAAAAAAAAAAGAAGAAGAAAGAAGACTGCATTATTTTAACTTATTATTGTTAAGGTAATGTGATATAATTGAAAGTAATTATAATTAGAATAATGCGATATATTTGATAGTGATAACAATGATAACTTCATCTACATTACCTACAATTATTGAAATTTGCTTCTTCTCTTTTTCTCTTCTTGCAATCTTTAAGCTCTTTTTTTTTTTTTTTTATTAAAATATTTATATAATTTTAATATATAAAATTGCCTCCAATTAATGATTAACAATTGAAATAAGTCTCCTTCATTAATTATTAATGCAATTAGAAAATACGGAGGGAAAAAAGAAAAAAAAAAAGAATGAGAAATTTGATAAGAATTGCATCCTTTAACAAAATCAAATGTGACAGTGGGATGATTCAGTGGTTCTAGAAACCTGTTACTCTTTGATGTAGTGAAATAAACAAAACGTTACACCCCTCTCTTCCTCTCCTATCGATTATTATTATTAAACTAAAATAAATTTAACAATGAAAAAAAAAATTCTTTTTTTAGTAAATAGTAGCATAATCGATACAAATGTACGAATAGCAATAATAATGATTATTAGTTTTGAATTAAAAAAAAAAAAATGTATTTATTTATGATATTACTATTTTATAATGATGAAAGTTATGTAAATTTTCAAAGTTATTAATTTTTATAATAATAGTAGTTGCTATTGTTGTTGTTGTTGTTATATATAGCAGTGTCGATAAAGGTGATGAAATTGTTAACATCATTAGTTTAAAATGAAAAATTTAATTTATTCATTTTTTTTTAAGGAAAATTTAATAAATATTTCAAAATTGAAATGATTACTTATAAAAAGAAATATTATACATTTTTTTTCTGATAATATTACTTTTTCTTGTCACCTTTTTTTTTTTTTTTTTTGTTTGTAAAAAATTAGCAAATATAGATTAAAACATCGTTAAGTGGTATATTTGCAAAATCGCGTTATGAATAAAACCTCATTTAATTTGAAACAATAACATCTAAGGACAAGAAGGAAATATAACTTTATTATTATCATTTTATTACATCTTTGATAGCATTAATACATTGAAAATGAGTAATTTCAATCTTTTGAGATAATGACAGTAATATGGATAAGATGATGAAGTAATGTGATGCAATTGTTAAAGTTATTAATTTAAAATCAAAAGTTTTTGAACAAATTTAATTTTTCTAAAAATTTCAGTAATTGAAATATTTCATATTGAGAAAAAATCTTTAACATCACCCATCACAATGAAATATGTCTTTCATAGTTTCACTTATCACTAAAATATACCAACTAGCATAACGTATCACATTGAAATATATCCTTCAACTTCATTTATCACATCGAAATATCCTCTTCAACACCACATATCACATTAAAAAATATTTCCTAAAAAATTTTTCGACAAATTTTGAGAATTATTGAATAAAAAAATTTGTTTTAAATTTTATAATTTAAAAAAAAAAAAAAAAAAAGGTGAAACATTATGTTCATGTTTATATATAGAACAAAAGAGGAAATTTTTTTATTGTTTTTTACATATCAAAATCACAAATTTATTCTGTAAATCTTACAACATTTTTATTATCTTCAAATTTTATTAAGTTAATGTTTTTTTTATCATAAAATACTTTTACCTTCATTAACAATATCAGTTTGCGGTGTATTAATTCTTTTTTTTTTTTCCTTTACTGTTCTATTGCGCTGGTTATTCGTCCGTTTCATCTTGATCAAATCATTAATTTTATAGTAATACTAAATTTTTTAAATTCAAAAAAAAAATAATTGAAAGATTGAAAGTTAAGAAATTTAATTTGTAGCAAATTAAAATTCATTTTTTAAAGGAGGTTAAAAATTTGTTTTATTGACCCAAAAACATATAAGTACTCATTATCATGCCACTTAGTACTTTCACTTTCCTCACTTGTTTTTTTCTTTCATTTTTTTTTTGCTGCACTATTAATACTTTTGTCCCTAAAATCCATAAATTTAAAAAACTATTATTCTTGACAATGTACTTCGTAAAGTGAAGAAGCCCTTTTCTCGTTTCGTTTGCTTAACATTTTAATAAATTACTGTTAAATAAATAGAGAAACTTTGATGTTTTAAATAAAGTTTCTATTATATGTTGTGATCAAAATTAAATTTAAGATGTTATCCATGACATATTGACTTAAACATTTCGAAAATTTTACAATTTCAATGATAGCAAAGTAATTTATTGTTTGGATATTAACAAACATTCGCAAATATCTATTGTTCATGAAAAAAAAAAAAAAAAAAAATCAATGTTTATTGTATTTTTTTTTTTTTTGTTATTTTTAGAAAATAAAGAAATTTATTTGCAAAATAAATGCAAAAATCTAACAATAAATGGATGAAGTTTATTGACTAAGTTTTGTTAATTTTCATTAAAATTTCTCGATTGACAGTATTTTTCTGACAAGATAGCATAATTATCAATTTATTTCGATGTTTATACCTTATGATATTTGCGAAAAAAGAAAAAAAAGCGGAAGGTTTTTAATTCTGAATAGGAAACTTGCATTTTTTTTTTTAAAAAATCATTATGAAAATGAAGTTTGTTCACTCTAAAAAAAAAAAAAAAAAATGGTTCAATAGATGTTGAAGTAAAATCAATATGAGCAAAAACTGATTGATATTTTTAAATTATTCAAAATTTTAAACATTTAAAAATTTCAACAACCATTTTGATTCAGTGGTTTTATGTACAATTTTTTTGGAAAATTGCTTCAAATAGAAGCAACAAAATAGGAGAAATGGAATTATTTGTCAAATTTTGACTGATTAGTTATGTCAACTTGTAAGAAAAGTTTGACAAACTTTTTCTTTTTTCTTTTCTTCTATGGAAATACTTGATGATATGTACTATCAAATCAAACGAATTTGATTTTATCATTTGCATCAAACTTTATTGTTGGTTAACTGTAATATGTCAAATTTTTAAAGTTTTAAATCAATTTTATTATTTATATTAATATTTTGTTTATATTACATAGTTTCTGTTCACATTGATTGATTACAAAAAAAGTAAATAACAGCAATTGAAGTATGATTGAACTTCAACTCAAATTTTTCAATAAATAAATATTATAAATTTAATTAGTAAATATTCATCGATGAAAATGTTTCAATTAAATTTCATGCAAAATACTGATAATTTGAATTGTTGCGTTAAAGAACAATTCTAATGAAATGCTAAGTTTGTTTGTTTGTTTTTATTGTGGCATAAACTGCTGATAATTGAACTATTGCAAATTTGAAATTAATAAATAAGCTTAAAAAAAAAAAAAAAACAGTAACAACTAAATGATATGAATCTAATTTTTTTTTTTTTTAAAAAAAAAGGCTGAAGCTAACTTTAATTAGTTCAATAATAATATCACCAAGATTCAGAACTTTTTTTTTTTTGGCATTTAAGAGTTTTTTCTGTTCTATAATTAAGCTATGCAGAATGTCATAATTACGAAGAACGACTGCTATTGATGTTTGATGAAGCACCAAATTACTGCTAATAGCTAATATATTTGAATGCATTTATAAATCATCAATGGTTAATTATAAATTTCTCTTTCATCAAATTTTTGAACATAGAATTTGTTACTTTTATTTTGTTTTGTTTTCGATTTTTGTTTTTTGTCTTCCTTTTTTTTTCTTATTTAAATGGCTCAACGCTTCGATGTTAACTGCCTAATTCATCATTTGAAAAAATAGATTTCATCTAAATTAATCCACTTTTTTCGTTCGAATAAATGCATAATTCATTTTCCAGATTTTCTCGATTGATGATAATCAGATGGTGCATTAAAATTTTTGTGATTAATTCATTGATTTCTCAAATTTTTTACCAATCAATTCCCATTATTATTGCTAATAATTTATTACCATTATCATTATTGCTAATATATTATTATTATTTTTTTTTTTTTACTATTGCTATCAAATTTTGATCTCACAAAAATTTTGCATTAATGTGAATGAATTAAAAATACTAAGAAATATTATGATTATTAAATGTAAAATTTATAATACCATTTATGCAATATTTCTGATAATAAACAAGAACAAATGAATTAATTTGTAATTATTTATGTATGAATGAAGCAAACAAGTTAATTGTTAAATATTTACAATTATTTTTCACGCATGAGATATTCAATAATTAATTGGCTTGCGCTTTTTTTTTTTTCTTTTCATTTCAAAAATGTATTGTCATTATTTATGTTTCACTTTTTTTTCTCGTTTTTTACCTCTCTTCTTCTCTCCCTCTCTCTCTCTCTCTCTCTCTGTTCGTTTTTCCTCTTTCCCTCTATTAAATTGTATAACATTTGCATGTTTAACAAGAACTATAGTGAGAAACTATTATTGCTTGCAATACGGTTTGATATTTTTGATGAAAGAATTTTAACATATTAATTTTTAACTTATTAATAGTACGAATATAAAATGCAATATGAATGAAAATATAACTTAAAAGAGAAAATAATCAAATTCATTTCATTTAAACATGACAGATCAAATTCATTTCATTTAAACATGACAAAAATTTTATCAAATTATTTTCGTAAATTTATTTCATCGACAAAAAAAAAAAAAAAAAAAAAAATTGCCAACATTTGATAAATTTACTTATTATTATCATTTGTTAATTTATTGCACAAAATACTTCAGTATATAAAATATATTTAAAAAAACACTGAGATAATTGAATTTATTATGTTATATATTACATATACATAAATACGCATTGTTTATTCTTAATTGAATAAGTTAATTTATTAATTTTAAAGTAGTTTAAAGTTAGTTCATTTCATCCTTTCAGTATTCAATAAAAATATATTATTATTAATATTTTTTTTTTAATACAACTGCTTGTATCAAATTTCATTTATTGAAAAGCTTATATTAGTGAAAATTTTTAATTGCATGGTAAAAAAAAAAAAGTGGAGCAAATTTTTCATACTTTTTGGTCCAAAAAAAAAAAAAAAAAATTACTCAATTTCATTTTTTCACATCGTAGAGAGAAAGAGAAAGAAAGAGAGAGAGAGAGAGAGGAAGAAAATAGGGGTTGAATAACTTTTTGTTTGAATACTTTTTTCTTCTTTATTTTGGATTAATTTTATTCCATTTTTTTTTCTCACAAAAATTATCATAGAATTTTATGTGTTGAAATGAAAAAGAATAATTTTAATGAATTAATTACAAACTAATATTGTAAAAAATTTACTTAATAAATTAATTTATAGTGGAAACAATTAATGTGACAAACACATAGTAACTATTCCATTTAATATATATTTATCCATCTCGTACACTACTATTTGACCGATGTACGTTTTCACGAAAATCCAAATAATAGTACATATATTTGTCTAACTTCATATGCATAGATTTTCTGAGAAAAAATAGAAAGAGAGAGAGAAAGGGAAAGAGAAAGAAAGAAAGAAAACCTTTACAATATTATCTGACTAAATTTCATCGATTTGAATTAATTCACTAACCAAACTAACTCAATGATTGGTTTTGGCTTTAGATAATCTGCTAATAAATTCATAATCTTTTATTCGAAATTTATTTAAAATTTTTGAAAATTTATTTCTATCTTTGATAGTGGCCATTTCACTCATGAATACATATCTATTCAAAACAAACTTAATGAAAAATGAATGATAACAATTAATCAGCAAAGAAACAGGAAGACTTAGAAGAGATGAGGAGTTCAAAATGATAATTCAGTCAAGATATAAGTTTAGGATTTATTATTTCTCCTTGTTTTGTTTTGTTTTTCTATATACTAAAAATAAACTTTGTTTTTGAATTTTCTGTTTTAGCAAAATTTCTTAGCACATGCTTCGAATCTTATTCGTCCACCAAATCAAATCTAATGATTGTATGTGTGAAATTCTTGATTCAATGGATAGAAGTTAAATTATAATAAATTTAATCTATTACATAAGCTTAAAATAGACAATCAGTACAGCCTTTTCATTTGGTTCGCTAAAAAGTTTTCAATTCAACAAATCGATGTGCATTTCTCTTGATTAAGAATTTTGTTTCTTTCAAATAGGAAAAAAAGGAAGGAAAAGCGCAACATTTTTCATCTTTTTTTCTCTTTTTTTTTTTTTTTTTTTTTGTTTTAATAAATTGAAATAAGCGAGAAATTTCCACATTTTAATTGACAAAAAAAAAAAAAAGATCCAAATAAAATTAGCACAGTTAAACGGGAAAGAGAAAATCATCACATCAAAAATTTGTGGATTACATCATTTAATTTAAGTAATACATTTAAAATTATATTGCTTCAGCAAAAAAAAAAAAAAAAAAACGAATTGTTTAACACCCATTGCATTAAAGTTTGTTTTATTCACATATATATATATAAATTCGTGTATATGAATTAAAATAGAAACATTTAGGTCACAAAATTATTGCGTAGTTCATATTTACTTATTTATTTACTAGCTTATTTATGTTATTTAATTGTTTGTTAAATTATTTATACGTCCATGCATTTTTAAATAACACATGTTGCAAATTTTTTTTTTACTTTGATAGCTATGATATTTGATTATATGTTGAAATTAAATGATGTAAAATTTAACTGAACATTCATATTTATGAATATACAAAAAAAGAAAAAAAAAAAAGAAAGAAAGGAAGAAAAAATAAAGGAAAAAAATAGCAGTAAAATTTTGCCATTTTTAAATAGTAGTAAAATAAATCCGTAAATGTATTAATAAAAATTTGTTGAAAATTTTTTGGATAAAATAGATGGGAGAATTTCATTTGTTTTAATAATTTTAGCTAAAATTTAAAATCTTAATCTTATAATATAACAAAATAACATGATTATATTCATGTTTATTTTATGTTTACTTTAGCTTCTCCTCCTTCTTCAATTCATCAATTTGGAAACGATTAGGTAACTGATAAGTTTTAGAATAAAACGAAAGAGAAGAAAGCACATTGAAAAGATATGTAGCGAACATACACACATACACATACACGTATATATAAACATAAGTATTATATAAACACTTATACGAACAGTTTGGTTAATTGACAATTTTCATTATGGTTGAAATGAAAATGTATATTTTTCCTTTTCCTTTCGCTTCCTTTTTTTATTTTTAATAATTTAAATGCTTTTATAAATGGACCATTTGGTAGGAAAGATATCAACAAATTTTTGTGTAAAAAAAAAAAAAAAAAAAAAGAAAGGAAGAAACTGAAGTTAGCATTTCGTATGCTTAAGTTTTCGTTTTTTTTTTTTTTGCTCCCACTTCCTTTCTTCATTTCCTTATGTTTTGTGAGAGAAGTGGGATATTCTTGATACATTCATTGTATGCATTTAATATAAGCTTTCTTAGCGATCCGAAAAATTCTCGATATCAAACTATTAATGTTAAGAAATAATCCTTTCTTTTCTTTTCTTTTTTTCTCCCTCTCTCTTTCTTTTCAAATCCATTCTTCTCTTTCAAAATTAAAACGAATAAATAAATTCAAGTTTTTACGTAATAAAAATTATATTTTAATTATTATTGTTATTATTATATAATGTGTGTAATAAAATAGGAAAAAGTAAATTAATTTCTTCTGATAAGCTGACATTCGTTGTTTTCTTATTTTGAAAAACATTTCAAATTTAATTATAGCAAAAAATAAATAATGAAAGATAAAAATAAAAACAGAAATGAAATGAAATATCTGTTATCAGTATAATGGAAATAATTTATGAATAATGTTTGAAAAATAAGAGAGAGAGAAAGAGAGAGGGATATCAAATAAATCCACATGAATGATAAGTTACAACGTAACTCATTTTATACCTCTCTTTCTTCTCTTACTCCTTCTATATCTTCTTCATCCTCTCTAAAAGCTGATCATCATTATTATCAGAGGGAGAAGGAGAAGAAAATGAAGAAATGGAGGAGGGCCAATATGAAAATCAAAGAAGTCTTACGGGAAGGGTTACAGGCAAGAAATATGAGAGAATAGGGATCATTTTCAATTATTTCATTTTTATGAAAAAGGTTGGAAGAATTTCGATTTAAACAGTTATTATTTCCTGGTACTTTTATCCGATGTCTTCAGCGTTTCGATTAGTGGTATCAAGATTATCGAATAATCAATTATTATTATTATCATATTTTCTGTCGCTTCTTTCAACAAGAAACCATTTAAGTACGATTATTAAATTTTCTGGATTATAATCTTATTATTATCATCTATTATCTACAACGCTTAATTTTACTACTTCTTATCAATTTTCACTTCCTGTTGGCATCGTAAAAGAAATAAACGAAGCAAAATTGAAAAGAAAAAAAAAAAAGGAAAAAAAAAGGGAAGGAAAGAAAATGCAACTGCTTGATAATGCTGTTGATCTTCGAGGATCTCAAGTGCTTAATGTGAAACGGTTTGTTTTGTCTCATTATTTCCTTTTCTTTTGCCGATATCATTTTAAATCATATTTCTTCTCATTTTTTATTTCATTCTTTATTCTAAAATATGCATATAATTGATAAATTTTCTTACCACACAAGATTTTCTGTCAATTATTTTAAATCACTGTTAGATTATGATATTATTGTAAAATGGATTAAAATGATTAAAATGACTGTGATCAACTTGCTGACTCATTTATATGATATATTATAGTTACAACCTGGATTAAATTAACATCCACTACAAGTTTCTTTATCATTATGCCTAGACGACAGAATGAAAAATAATGAAGATGACATTTTGGACAAAAAAAAAAGTATTTTAGCTAGTTAATAATCCTATTTTGCAGTTTGTTTATTTGCTTTTATTTCTTATTACATTTACGATGTTTCTAATTTTCTCTCAGTATAGTCACCTCTCGACCTCTTCTTCTATCAATTTCTCATTGTATCAGTGGTCATTCCAATTTAATCATTTTGTTCTTAAAATGTGGAATAGAATGAAAAGTTAAGATGATTGGAGGAAAGCGTAAATTTTGAAAAAATGTAATTTACACTCTTCATGTTGCATCAAGTAGAATTGACTGAAGTAGCTGAGGGAATTCTTATGATTACTAATTACTGAATTTGATTATGAAGAGAGGCCGTTTAAATAAGGCAAAGCAATATGATTACTTGAATTTGATTGATAACTTGTGCAAAAACACCGTTTTTACTATTTATTATTATTATTATTTTCATTATTATTATTACTATTATTATTATTATCATATTATTTATTTATTATTATTAAGATTATTATTAAATACTTCGAGATATTCCGTAGAAATCTCAAAGCCATATGTTGGAAATTTTCAATTCTTTTCTCTTCATTTTTTCAATAAAAGCAACCGAAAAACAGTGTTTATAAAGGTAAATTAAGCAAATATTTTTGTGTTATTCAATGAAAAGAAAAACTGGGATAAATGGAAAAGATTCGGGAAAAAAAAAAGGAATATTTCCTTTCTGTTTTTTTCTACTAAATTATTTCCTTTGCTGGAATATTTGCTTGATTACAATAATCAGTCACTCATTCATCATTATCTTTTGAATTTGCACTTCCCTTTTCTGTTTTCTTCAACCTTTTTTTTAAATTTCAATTTTTTCTATTTTTTATATTTCATCCTTGCATGCATAATTATATTGTCAACCAAAAAGTTAAACAAAAAGAAGAGAAAAAAAGAATAGGAGGAGGAGAAAATAGAAATTTAAATACCTATTGAGAAAGGTAGAAAAAATAATTTATTTTCGGTTACCGCTTTTACAGTAACAAAATTTCGATTGATTAAATTTATAGTATTTTAAAATTTAGGCTGAGTTTTTTTTTTTTTTTTTTACGCTAATCTTTTTTCTTCCTCTTCATTCAACAATGATGCAAAAGTGAAAAGTGAAATAATAAGGTTTGAAAGATTTAGGAGAGGAATTGGGTAGGAAAGAAGGGAGATAGAAGAAAAAAAAGGTGTGAGAGATAATGAAAAGGAAAAACAAAAATTTTCAAGATTTGAACATTTGCATTATACCAACACTAACTCATTTATTTTGAAATGATAGTTTATCATCAAAGATCGGAACAGCCTGTTGCTGACTTAAGCACTCCTCAGTGCTAATTAGCATCATATTTCATCGTATCTAAAGTTATTACACAGCAAAACTTATACATTAAAAGAAAAGTTGCACTGTTTTCATTTTTAAAACGATAAAATTTTTGAAATGATTCTTTTTTTCATAATTACATGGCAACTTCATGTTAGAATAATTAAAGTATTTGCTTTTTGCTTTTATTTTTTATCTTTCATTTTTTCTTTTTAATTCTCAACATATTTAGATAGTGCAAAAGATATTAAATATTTGGACGAAAATTTTATAACTGATTTCTGGAAAGTTTATTGCTTCTTTTTATACATAAATATATACAAATCTTTGCAATTGGAATATTTCATCGGTCTTTTTTTTTGGGAAATACTTCCTTTTTTCTTTCTCTTGAGAAAATTTTCGATAAAAAATTTTATTCCTTTTATGCATTTAAATTAAGATAATACTAATTAAAATTAAGACAATTTAACAAATTTAAACCACAAAAATTAAGGCAACTTAACAAATTTAAACCACTGAAATTGACGAAGTAGGCATTGAGTTGCAAAACTTTCATAATTAATTTTCAAATTTCATTTTTCTCAGGTATCATTCGATTGTATGGCAACGGCGATGTATGGCACTTGCAACTCTTCTTGCGTATGTTCGTCTTTTTCCCTCCTTATTTTTCAAAATTAAATCTTTAAAATAAAATATTTTTCAATTTTGTAATTGATTATTTTTAAAATGAATACATTATCTTAAACAGAATACAATGTGATCGCCGTTAAAGAATAATTAATCTTATGATAGTAATTATCACTATTTATTATTATTGTATTGTTATTATTATTATTATCATTATCAATCACTGTTATCAATAGCACTGCTGCACTTTTTATAAAGCAAAATTGAAGTTAAAGTTCAACTGAGTGGGAATAATAGCAATATTATTTTTCACTAAATTTTCTACTTTCTACTAAATATGTTGGATTTACAACTTTATTATGCGTTCTTTTTTTTTTTTTTTTTTGGACCATAGGCCGAATGTCGCTCATTGCTGTTAATTTTGTTATTATAAGAGGAATGATGAGGCTAATTGTAGCATTCCATAGCAATTTCTACTACTTTACATGTTCTAATAAATACTAGAAGAGGTTGGTGAAAGCAAAATATTAGAATACTTAAGATATTACAGCTTAACCGAGATTTTCTTTTTTTTTTTGATTTTGAATCTTATAAAAAAGAAAAAGAAGAGCGAAGAAGGATGAAAATTTGAAGCTATAAGCTAAATGATTTATTTAAGCTGCTAATAAAATGCTTAAATGATATTATTAATCAGAGATATGAGAACAAACTGAAGAAAATGATGATATTATATATAATATTGACAATTCATAATTTTTATTAATTTCTACAAAATAATGAAGAAAGGTATAAGCAAAAATGAACATTATTATAATTATATATAAAAAAAAAGAAGTAGCTAAATATATGATTTCAGCTAGCAATAATTATATTTGTAATTTCACTGCTCACACCAAATTGGACCATAATCGATTTTACAAATACAGACTTCGAAGAAATACATGTGCAGTTAGGTGTTTGGGGTGAATGGCGAACAAAAACAAATGGAACAAAACAAATTGGTATGTTAGCTGTTACAAATTTAACTTTTTTTTTTTTCAAATAATATATAATTGAAATTTTCTTAGGGTACTTTTAGGATGAAAAATTTGGATTTTCCAAAAACGACAACTTCATGTTCAATTTTTCACGAAAAAAAAAAGTGATGCTTGGTTAATTATTGAATTCAAACTTTCAGTGGAATGGATACCGCACTTTCCAAGGCCTCCGGAACATGTTCTTCGACTTGCAGATGCTGATCTCAAGCGTTCGTTTACTTTTTTTTTTTTTCTTTCCTTTTTTTTTTCATTTTGACAATTAATTTTATCAAAATAAAGAAATGAATAAAATGTATCGAAAGAGGAATTCAAGGTATCAAGTTAAATTATATCATAGGAGTAGAAAATACATCTTGGTTTAAGGTTTAGAAAATGGTAATTAAAAAAAAAAAACTGAGTTTAAGTCAAGTAATTGAAATTAAAAAAAAAATCAAAAGCTCACAGTAAGAAACTTACGAAAAAAAATTTTTTTTTTTTTTATCCTTTTAAGATAACTTTTATAAAGATCATGTGAAACTTATTGTGTTTAATCATTATGATATCAATATTGATAATTTTAAAATTTAGTTAAACGCAAGAATTAGAACGATGAAAGGAAAAAGTGATAGACATTTCTAACAAAAGAACAGAAAAAAAAAAAAAAGAAGAAATTATATGGATATTACAAAAGAAAGAAATATGAATCGAAATAACTGGTTGAAATAAAATCATTTGAATTTTTAGACTTCTATTTGGTGCAAATGGTATTTGGTATTATATCATTGTTACTAATGTTTTCAACTAATGCACTTGCAGTGTATACATTTTATCATCATCGTTATATATTTAAACGCTTGGTTGCATGTCTTTATGGTGTTATTGGTAAATTTTTGATTATTTTACATTTTTTTTTTTTTGATGTTTAATCAAAGCTTATGTATTTTTTTTTCTTTGTAACATTAGAAAAAAAAAAGAAAAAAAAAAGAAAGAAAGAAAGGGACTATCATATTTAAATTAAACATCTTGTTAATTTTTAGTTGAAAGAGTTACGTCATTAAAAGTGAGAAATTTAAATTAACTTTTAATACTATGATTAATTCAAATATTACATTTGAATTCATAATTATAAATTTCAGCAATGTGTATTGTTGTTACAATAGAAATATTAACAAACAGCATTAGTGAATGGAATCGTTCTGTTGCAGAACAAGCTAAGGTTTAAATACTCTTTTTTTTTTTGATGAAATTATAAATCATGAGTAATTCCTGCCGTATCTTTAATCATTATCAAAAATTTTTCTAGGATTTTTGTCTTATGTAAAAGGTTTTTCTAAATATTTTGGTTTTTGCTATTTGCTTCTTTTCTTCCCTGAGATATTTTTTTGTACAAAGATAATTTGATAAGAACATGAAAAATTGATAATAAAAATAATCAGTTATAAATAAGAAGTATTATTCCATGCAACTATATGGAATGCTAAAAATTATGATAAAATTTATGACATTTTATTTTCCAGAAAATCTATATTCCACAAATTTCTCTTCGAAAAGTACAAGACTGAAATTGATAGAGCAGTATCTTTTTTTTTGTGAAGAGATCAAATTTGATTGTTGAATTAACTAAGTTTTATTTAAAACTCGAAATTTCCATTCTCATAAATTATAATTATAAAATTAGCGAAATAACATGCAATATTCCAATGTTTATACCATGATTTGAAAATTTTCAAATTCAAATTAAAAATTATTTCTGCGATAATGACTGAAAAATGTTAGTTTTTTTTTTAGTTCAAATTATCCAATATTAGAAATGGATGTATATATTGTAATGCAATATAAAATTTTGCTTATCTATGACTTTAAAGAATCCACACACACACACACACACACACACACACACACACACACACACACACACACACACACACACACACACACACACACACACACACACACACACACACACACACACACACACACACACACACACACACACACACACACACACACACACACACACACACACACACATACAAACATACACATATACATACATACGCACACGAAAAAAAAAAGGTAAACAAGAATGAAAATATTTTCGAACAAAAATGTCATTTGGAAACTGCAGAAAAACTATGGAAATGAATGATATTGCAGAATATAGAATGGGATTATTCAGTGGGTCAGACAACAGGTTTACCCACATATTTAGCTTGGACATGTGTGCTTATATATCTTTTCGCTGCAATTGCATTTGCGCTCGGATCGCATAAGCATAAGGGCTCGCGAGCAGCAACTGCCGAATTCGAGATTGAAGATCGACCAGTTCACATTGGACGGTGATCCATTGATCTAAAGACATCAAATGTATCCACTTCTTTTATCCATTTCATAACTGTTATTTACAATGTTGCTTTTTTTTTTTTCATTTTTCCATTTTCTTTGACACTTTAAATATCAAAATGAAAAGATAAGTCCATCACAACTATAATTTTTATGTTTGTGCTATAATGATCAATAGATTGCTGCTACGTAAGCATTCTTTCGGAAACAACTTAGGTACCTGAATTTCATTAATAAACAAGATAACAAAATTTTACAATCGCTCAATCAGATCAAGAACTCCGTCGTCTATTTTATTTGATAACCTATTCAATTGGTATTTTTAACTTATTAGGTCTTTCAAGACAAATACAAAAATACAAAATTATTATATCACAAATGGATGATTTATTTGGTTAACACAATACATGTATGATAAACACATTGTCATCCTCCATACTCAACCAGAGAAAATTTGAAAATAACATAATCACAAGTATCATTGGGTATTATGAAAATAGAAAATAGGCAGTGAACAGTGCAAAGAAGTAGCTAATATTTTCATGAATACCATTTTCACTTCTGAATTCAGCTGGAAAAATTGAAATGAGAAACATCAAATCTATTACATTTAGAAAGCGAATCTCAGAGAAACTTCGTGGGACCATTCAGACATGTGACATACTGATCAAATAAACTAACAAATTTTACTGAAAGAATTAAATATAGCAAATATGAAGTTTTTTGACTCTAAAAATGCAAAGGAATTAATGCAGTTCAATTTAAAATTTGAACAAACTTTAATTACCCTTCAGGAGAATGGAATAAGTTCCAATGTGAACGTAATAATAATTTACAGATAATATGTATTAAAAAGGATATCAATCAACGGATAAAACATATTTCTCGATTAATGCAGTTTCGGACAATCTATTAAGCGTATACTCATTCAATCAAAGACGAAGATAAACAATGGATGGCAATTCATACAGTTTTTAGGTAAAGCTAATAATGGTAAGAATCTTATAAGCCTCCGTTTATAATTCCTAAACCGGAATGAACAATGAAATCAGAAAAGGAAAACAACAGCCCAGATCAAAAGCGCATGCAGCAAAAAGAAAACACTGAAATGACCAAATTCCAGACTAAATAATCGGAGAGAAAAAAGCTGAAAGACCAACTGTTAACAAGGCCAAATAATCGAGCAATAAGGGAAAAACAGATGAATATTATAATGACAAGTCTCTTTAAAGTATTTTACACCGAAGCGTTCAGCAATCGGATAAAACGGATGATAAATTTTTTTGTATTACTCGGCACAAGATCAAAATAATGCTAATATTTTGCTCGGAACATTTCACAACAGTATTATGATACACGATTTCATAATTTGATAAGAATTGTTCTTTGTACCAAAAACATGTATGCAAATGAGAAAAATCACTTACAATATGAAAAGATAAATAAAAGACAATGAAAACAAAGCAATTATAAACTATTATTTCACTTTCAGTGTTAATAAGTTAACAACGAAAGGAACTAGTCAATAAGCACAACACATAATTGGTTGTCATGTAAATTATAAAATATGAAAAAATTTAAAAGTGTTGTGCTCGGAACTTACTAGCAGAGTTATTCAACATATGTTGAATGTAGAAAAAAAAAAAAAAAAACTATAAAGCACAAAAATATTTGAGCAGATAGAAATCTGAAGAAGCAACATGAAAACATAATTTTCCTGAAAAAAAAATGGAACCAGTTTACAAAAGACATGAATTCCAATATGTAAAAATTACGGTATTTTATACGCAGATTAATTTTAACACCTTTATGCAAGATTTAGAGCATCCAGCCGACTAATTTGAAATCTAGCATATCTGACAGTAACAAATGGTTAATCGGTGCAAGATTTACACAATATTCAAGGAAATACAGTAAGAAAACATGGATTCGACACATTAACATGATATTATGAAGTGAATCCCAAGTAATGCCGGAATGACAAATCTGAAAGCAGTAACCTTTAATGACCTATGTTTGACCATTAATCACAGCAGTGTTCACATATTGTAATCCCTCATAATTCGACTTCCCGCCGGAAGTTACCACATTCACATATGATGACCCTTCTGTCGTTGTTGGTGCTAACACTTTCAACTGTGAAGTGCTATTCGGTATAGCATCCTGGAACTACACCCAAAAGTATTAAAATCGTCGAAAATTTGGTGTTAACAAACTCTTCGTCTTACCAAATCTGGAAATTTCCCTATTTGTCCATGCTATTCCTTCAATTTGAAGAAAAACAAACATTTCTAGTTTGATCAAGTTTTCCCTCATTATGTGTTGACATGTTATTGTTGCTTGCTATAGGAACATCGAAGATCAACTGCTTGTGTGTTACAGATGGACTATTGCCAGCTGAAGATGAATCATAACGAGGAGGTAATGGAGGTGCTCGTCGAGGTGGCACAGCTTCACTCCTCGGTGGCCATGACTGCCGCTAGAAACAATTTTTTTCAATAATTATCTTACATCTTTAGTTCGGAATAATTCTAAATTCTGAAAAATGTGTAGATGAAAACATTTAATAGTGAGTGTGAAAGAATCTATTCACAAAATTATGGAATCAAAACAAAAACACGAAAATGACTCACCACATTCTTAACAGTGCTTTTCTCAATAATCGTTTCATAACCAAGTTTTTTATTAGCTTCTATCGGATCAAATGAATCGATAATGATTCTCTCCGTACCTTTAATCTCACAGCGACAGAACGGACATGTACCACCACCATCTGATTCCTACAATAATCCAGAGGTGGTACATATATCCGGAATAAAAGCGTATGTTAGATAATAAATGCAGCAAATAAGTAAACAACAACAAATATCATTTAATAAAAAAAAATTAAAATCAATCTTTGAGGAGTAAATAAGATTTCATAATAATATAATACTAAGTGAAAACTGCAACTGTTTTTTCGATGTACCAAACTATTCGCACCATAATTAAAGAGACCATTACACTTGGACCTCACACTCTTGAAATAGGAAATAATAACCTGCCAGCTCTGCAAACAAGGTGTACAAAGCAAGTGGCCACATGGTTCCAACTTGACATTTTTATTATTTTCTGCACAAATTTTGCACATCTCAAATGTGGTACCCATCTCACAATAAATCTGATATTGCTCTGGAGTCACCTAAAAATCAAAAGTCTTGCTAGACAACTTTAACGCTAATCAGAATACACACAAATATAATATAGCCCAATTAGTAAAAATTAAAAAACTTGAATATGATCTCAAAACGACTTTGACGATACCTGCTTACCTTAACACGACCTTCCGGACTTGGCTGCAAGGCATGACTTAAGTCTGGGTTGGTTGGTCTTCCATCCGGGAAACGATAACTAAAAAGACATGTTGTAAAATCAAAGCAACCCAAACGACAAGGGATTTTAAGAAAAGTATGAAAATTTTGCTGAGAAATTTTATGCTAAACTTGATATGAATGAAAAGATTAAATATGAAGTTAAAGTAATGGTCTCCTACAATATCAATAGAACGAAAGAACCACTTACAATCCTTCTCGACTTCCATCAACCAAAGCTTGTATGAGTGACTTATTTTGTGGTATTGTTTGGTAAATTTTACCATCAGGAGCAACATAACCAACAGCCCACTGTCCAAGACGTGTACAGCTCAGGCGGAACACATAGCTAGAAAACAAACAATAAATACTCTAGTGAGTATAACAGTTCCAGCCAAAAACATCGGTTGATGGAATTTATAATACAAGAAATGAAGGAAAGAACCTTCCAGGCTTGTTACTATATTTCTGAAGCTTTTGTTTCACTTCATCATATGTCAGAAAGGCAACATATCCGGGATGAGTTACTGCAAGTAGCTGCCAATTGTGCAACAGCGTATTCCACGGTTGGAAGAGTCTGAAATTCAGTACATAACTCGGTCACTATAGTTATCCAGTATATAACTCGATCACTTTTTTTTTTTTTTTTTTCATCTATAGAATTTCATGAAAAAAAAAAAGAAAAACATATTACCACGTAGCAAATATTTTATCAAAAACTAAAAGGCATAATTTAAGCACATAATCACTATAGTTAGACTTCACATATGAATCAGTATAAATAGAAACAAAAAGAGATAAACCTTGTAAATACGTCGAATTCGAAATTCGAAATATGCTCATTAACGGTAAGGTCAATGGTAGTCTTCAAAGCAAGAGTTTCTAAACCGGTATTAAGTCTATGAACTTTGCTTAATGCAATTCGAAATTCGAACCATGGTACGGTAGTCCTGAAAAACGGAAGTTTTTGCATTTTTCAATTTTATATCAGATAATCCAATTCTCTGTGCTGAAACAACAATTTGACAAATAATATCACAAAAAATGGTTACTTGATGCCAAATGATTCCCTCCAAAATGCATCCGCTTCTTTTTTGGTGATACGAAAGTTTTCACCAATAAAATGTCCATCCGGAAATTCAGCTTTAAGCTCTGCTAGCATGTGCGAAAAGATCAGTGAAAGTTTGGTAAGATTACGTCGTGCTGCTGATCTTTCATCGTAAATCCTTTCACGATCTTCTTTGAATAATTTCATTGTCTGTAAGAAAAAATGACATTCACGCTAACGGGAAATGTAAAGCGAACAATTACAAGTATTCAAATTAATAAAAGCAAGTAACCCTAAAGTAAGTAGATTTCATTACAGAAAGTATAAAAGAGAAAACATTAATATGAGAACCTGCTTGCATTTTGACTGCACGTTCTCCAGGAATAATACTAAATATGTATTGTCTTTCAACACATTTGGGTTCTTGGATATGATGGTAGATAACTGATGATAAGTATCGGGGAGTATATCAAGTATAAAAGGTGGTGAATTTTTAAGATTTAGACGCGGCTGTTGACAGTGCTTGACAACAGTATCCATCAATTTAAACGTTTTTTCAACCAGCCGACGATCCTATAATTATAACTCAAAAAACCAAAAAAATTTAAAGAAATGTTCCAAAAACACAGTCTAATCTTATCAGGAGAAAAAAAAAAAACTGACGACACTGCAGAAAAAAGTCGAAATACCCTATTTTCTTTGTCTCTAGATTATTATCCTATTAAAAAATGATTATTATGAAGCTATCCTTTTTCCTCGAAAATTTTCACGGCAAAAATCACGTCGAGACAAGCCGAGGACGAAAAAAGAAAGATTTTTCACAATAAAAGAAAATGCATGAAATTGAATGAAGAAACCACAGACGAAAAATATCAACAGAGAGATGTGATGATACCTGAATTTGCATCATGTTGGAAGGTCCAGCCACCGTATCACTTCGTCCATTGTAACTGTGCAAAATAGAAACTGCGCCACCGCTAACAATTTCATGAATTTTATTCAATATGGAGGAAGCAAAACCGCTCACAGCCATTTGGTGAGCAAAATTAGGTTGACGAATATATTTTCCAGATTCCTATTTCTGAACAAATCATAATTGTTTTTTTGTCATTGTAACTTGACAGATAAACGCCACCATTAGCAATCAAATCTTTTGGAAGTGTTAGTCAAAAAATCGTATTCAGTAATTAATTAAAATTCGACTACTGAAATAAACATCTCAAAACGAAGAATTTTGAAATCCTGAAAAGTGGTTATTAAAAATTAAATCGCATAATGTTTCAATATATATCAATAAGAGTACTCTTTGCATTACGTAGCTCTCACTTTGAATAAAAGTTTTGCCAAAAGCTAAATACCGTAACCCCTTCCGGTAAAATCCAAGAATGATTGTTCCCTACCTTCCACTCTATCCCAGTAATAATCCTAACAAAACTTCCAACAATCATGTCAACATAGCCAACAACCATCGCTGACAACATTTAATGCAGCCCACAGCCACACACATTTTAATCCACATGATGTGTTGAGAGTTTAACTTATTGGTGTACACTTTTTTTTTTTTGTTCCGGATTTTGAACGGATAGACTGTGAAATGTATGTGGTGGTAGTGCAGCCGGAAATAAAGCAATAGAGCTTTCCGAAAGTAAGAGAAAGAAAGAGGGAAAGTATAGTAACAATTCTCTTTAGTATAAAGAGAAAGAAATATTTAAGCGAGAAGTGACAGAGAAAGTGGTTGTGAATAGCAAAAGACAATGGTATATGTAATAGATTGAGAAAGGTTTTTTTTTTAAAAAAAAAAAAGAAAAAAGAATGTGCAGTAATTGAGAGACGCATGTGGAAGCGAACAGAAAATGCCTTGTAAAATTTAGTTTGAGTGGTGATACGTGAATAATTACCTTCAATATGATAAGAAAATTTCAGTTGTTATAACAGATGCAATATATGTATCGTTTTCATAAATTCTTAGAAATATTTCACTTTTATTTTTGTTTTTGTTTTTGCCTTTTCTTTTATTATTATTGTTATTGCAGAAGTTGAGAGCGAAAATAGGTGGAGTTGTTGTTGTTTTTGGATAAACGGCAAAAAAATTTTAACAGAATCTCATCATATTTATTAAATTAGTTCATCAAATTTATCTGTTTTTATTTTCGAATATATTTGGTAAATCATTTGAATGTTTTGTCGTGGATCTCCAAATTTAATCAAATTCTCTTAATACTTACATTTTTTTTTTTTTTCGTAGGTGGGAGTTCTACGTGTGTTCCGATACCCAGAAAGCAATAGCTCTAAAATAGTGGTATAAATTGGTGTTAAAATGGACTGCTATTTATGTTTTTAAAAATTAAAAACATAAATTTTAAATATGTGGTGATTGAAATAGAAAATAGGATTACATTCAAGACTCTCAGTACTTTTTATTATTTTCACATCATTCTTTTTTTAATGGTATAGAGACTTGATGAGGGTTATTATCTACGCCAAAATCAGTGCCTTGATGATGGTAGGCAAGCCAACGAATGATTAGCTTTAGGGGAAGCTTTATTAAAATCATCATGTACAGATTTCTCTCCTCTTAATTGGTTTGAATTAGACTTGAATTGATGTATGGTTTTCCTGGAATTTGAGTTTAAATTTAAATGAATTTTGTTCCACGATATTTGGGATTTCGATACATAAGGAACCAGAACAAAAATGAACCTAATATAAATGAAAATTATAGATTTGCAGATTAGAATTATTTAGAATTTTGCAGTTTTTATTGCTTTCTTCACTTTTATTTTCCAAATTTCTTTTCTTATCCTCGTAATTTTCTGTCTCTGAAATTGTAGCTAACACATCGTGATTGAAGGAATATTTTGTTGAGACGAAAAAAAGGATAAAGAAAAAGTGAATGAAATCATTTGAACAACACAGGTGAAAGATAATTTTTGCTATCAAAATTGGCAGTACTGAGAAACGTTTAAATGAAATAATTCAGGGAAATTATCACATAGTATTATACGACTAGTAGTCAGTTGTGTGTTGAAATTTTTTTTTTAATTATTACAGATGTGGAGAAATTCGTAAAAAGACAGGATGAGAACTAGTGATTACGTTTATGATAGGGATTTGGAGCTGGCGCTGGAACTTAGTAGGTTAGATATTTTATGCAATTTTAGATTATATTACGACAAATATGTTGGTACTGTTAAGATATTGTGGTTATTATGGCGGTTTGGATTAATTAAATCACAGTTTTACAACGCAGTTGACTTTTTCTTCTTTTTTTTCTAACCAATTTATTTGATTAAAACTAAAAAGTGGGGTTTACGCACCTATGGAAATGTGATATATTATTTCAGGCAGTCATATAAAGAGGAATCACGCAAGCGAAGGGAAAATGCATATGCTCAGGATTTGATTTGTTGGGATGATGTTGAAAAAAATACTCAAGAAGTCAATGAGTGTAATTCTGACATTCGAAGTCGCTGTCTCACATATACCCATACATTTCCGTATTCTTTTCTTTTTTTTTTTTTTGAGCAAATTCAAAAAATTCAAGAGATCTGTTTAGCATTTCCTTTTTAACTTCTTTTTTAGTCCCTTTTTTTTTCTAAATCATTAGTTATTCAAGAAAATAATTAACATGGGATGGGAATCTCAGGTCTAAAGTTTATTTTTTAAGCCAGTTTTATGTTCTTTTTAGTTTTTGGGTTAAAATTTCATCGTATTTGTTATGATATTTAAGAATTGCTGTTCTAACTTTGTAGAAATCGACAATCACATTATGCGAACATTCCAACAACGTCAGGAAACACTGGTTTTTATCCACACATGAAACATGACAAACAAGACAATCTGCATTCCTTACAGCACAGTAAGTAGATCTGAAGTCATTTGTAATGATTTCAGTTTTATCTCTTTAAAAAAAGTAGACGTTAAGCAAAAACTCTCTTCTTTTATTTTATGTTATTATTACTGTCCATTTCAGACTTCATTGGGCTTTTTAATAGCGCCAATTTTTTTTTTTTTTTTTTTTTTTCAACTTAATGCAGTATATTTATTGGATCCTTATCCATATAATTCCAAAATTGTCAAAACCACATCAAATTTCTATGGAATTTAGCAGGACTGGAGTCGAGTACTCTCACACGTTACCTTCCTGATATGTTATCTGGCACGGAAGCGAATGATACTTCTGGAATCATTGAGCAGCGGGTTGATGCTCCTGATGCTACCTTGATAATGTTATCTCCATCGAGCAGTGCAGTTGTTGTTCCTTTCTGTTCCTCTGTTAAAAGTTTGCAAACAAACAGCGATTTGATTGATCTAAGCGATAAAGAAGTAATTTTTCCTTCTATTAATTAATTTAAATTATCACTGAAAGCTTTGGTGATAAAACTGGGCCGAAATGAGCAAATATATGTTATATTTTGTTTAATATATGTTATATTTTGTTTGTTTCTTTTTTTTCTTTTTTTTTTTCACAAAATTTGGTCCAGTTTCTCTATTTAAAACTATTCAGACCTTGCATTTCTTTGCAAGAGAAGACTGAATAGCTGGAAGCTCTATTTTATAAAAACTTTTATAAAAGTTTATAAGAAACTCATAACTAGATCCATGAATATTTTGGTGACCGATCAAACCTCTGTATACCAACGAAAAAAGGCCAATAACGCTAGTCATTTTTTTTTTCTTTTTTGCAAAAATTTGCTTTGTCTCGTCGCTTTTCTGTTAAACACTCGAAGGTATTATAACATATTATTGTAGGTTGGAAAGCCTATATTTAGTTCAAGCCCTAAAAATTCTTTTGGATTTAATCTTTTTTGAACTCTGAAAGGTGCTAATTGAAATGCCTTAATTTATTCTTTTCGTTTTCTTTCTTTTTGTAGGAGTAATTTATTGAGGTGAGAGATTGTTTTGCGCAACTTACTCCTTGGTTTTTCCTAAATCGAAAATTTTTCTTTGTTAATCCGTCTGTAATGTTGATTCTCTTCCTCACATGTTAGATTTTATATTTTGCAAATGTAACCAGTTTTTTAGTGATGGTTTTTGATAAAAATGTAGTATGAGCTGCTATCATTATCACTAAATAATACGATAACTAACTTTGCTTCTTGCTTAGGAATATTATGTGGAGTAAGAAATGTTTTATTTCTTGTGAAACCAGCAGTTTTCATAAATTTTTTTTTTCTTTTAAATATTTCGAAATCCTTTCTAGCCATGGGAAGAATTTGACCCGCTTTGTGCTACTCGCTTTACTGGCAGTCGTGAAGCCTCATCGACATCTAATCAAAATGAAAATACAAGAGTGCAGCAGAGTAAAGGCAATGATTCTTCGCTATTTGTATCTGCATTGGAACCGTCGGAGTCGATTCCATCATCTCGTTTGGCTATTAATGATAAAGGTTTTTTCTCATTTTTGTTGAGATTTTTTTCTACAAAAAAAAAATCTTTTTAGTTTTTCAAAGAAAGGTAATTTTCAATATAGGTAATGGCTTAGCTCCGTGTAAACCTCCGAGAGCACAGAGGAGTGGACGAAATGAATCTGTAGTTTCTACCGGACGACATCAAATTGATTTTGACGAAATACAGTTGCAAGAGAAACCTTCAGAAGTTGATCGTGAGGTTTGGATGTTAATATTCTATATGCTTTTTTCAGCATCAGCACCCCATAATTTTATTTTTAAATTCGAGATTGATACGTATTGTAAATTTTAGATTGCTTCTCTTCTTCGTCGTTCCCCTCAGCACTGTGATCCAATATCAAGGCGTTTCATATCACCTGTCGTGGATTACTTAATCACAAGTTTTAAAGTTACCAGTGTAAAAGTAATCGTTGAGAAAGACTACAGGTATTTCTACATTTGATTAATCTTTAAAATTAGTTTAAAATATGCGAGTATACATCATGTAGTTTTTTAATATCTCATTTTTCCTGAAAATTTTATTTCAGTTGGCCGACAATATTAAGTGCAGACGATAGAATGACGTTCACCTGTGAAACGACAAGTACAATCCAGTACATTTTGGCAAATGTGTTAAACACATTCCTTGATCCTTCACAAATCAGTATGCTGCAAGATCGTTTACCAGTCGATGAATATGGCCTGAAAGTGAGTAATTAAATTAATTGAATATTTAATTTATTTTTCATGAACTGATCGGTCTGATGCGATGTTAGAGCAGTTTAAGGTCGTCCTGTTTTAGATTTATGGGTTGGATGAATTTCTTCTTAGCAGTTCTCAACTTGGTGAGAATCCATTTGTTGGACAGGCACTTGCTTTTGGAAAAGATATACGACTTGAGGTAATGTTTTGTTTCGATTCTTTAATTTCCAAATCTAAATATTAGGTAATGTGGTTAATAATTATTATTTTTGTGTAGGTTGGGAAAATAGCAAGTGACAATCGATCCAAAAAAATATACCAGCTTGATGTACCAACTGTTGATGGCAGTCCAAGACGTTCTTCCCAACCCAGGTATTCATTCCTTTTTTGAGAGAGAGAGTTTCTCAACATCTTTCACTTAGATTTATATATACTAAAAATAGTATATTGTATCGTTATGTTTCTCTAAGGGGTTGGCTACTTTCGTTTGGTCATCACTAGTATGCAGTCTTAGTATAAAGAGGTGTTTATATTGCAAATTATCCTATTTTACTGTATTGTTATGCATATTGTATTGGTATACTAAAGGAGATACTGCATAGCATTGCAGATATGCTATTGTACTACATATCAGGCAATTTTTTTTTTTGCCAAAATCGTAGAAGAATTAGTTTAAGAAATATAATCTAACAAAACTCTATGACATCGATTACACTTCTTCGAATTTTCCTGTATTTTCCCGTAGTTTTGATAAGGTACAAGACGAATTTTAATTTTGAAAATTCTATAAAATATCGATAACTTTAATTCTCACATTTGTGAGTTTTCTAGTTCGAAGAAGCCTGATCCTGTAGTGCGAACAGTAACAAATGTTCGAGAAATTTTGGATGCACTAAAGAATTCGCTGCGTAGCTGTTCTGACACACATTTTGATAATAGTGGTAAATGTTATCTTGGTAGTGTTATTCATTTATTCCATATTATGGTTAAAATTATTCCTCAAAGTACTTTGGTATTGTTATTCATGCATTCCATGATTGAAATTATTTTGATTGATATTATTCCTCAAATTGCAGCGCTGAAGAATAAAGAAAGAGTAAGCCAGTCAGTGAAGCTTCTTTGTACTGTTCTTGGGCGCATTATAACAACTGATCTATCTACAGCTTTGCGTTTATTTCTTGCTGCAGAAACGGCGGTACGATTTCGCTTTATTTGCTTTACGTTTATCTTTCGACAATATATATCACACTGTAATAAGTTTTATTAAAAACATACAGTGACGTGACGTACAGAGAAACTACTTCTGTAGTAAAGGAGTTATCAATAGAATGGTACTATAAGTTAATGAAACTGCCTGCTCGATATTAATCATTGTATATTTATAATTAATTCATGTATAACAACTTCATCTCTGAATCCAGGCATATCATAGGTACAACTTTCAAACGCAGTAACAGAACTTCTTACTGTTGTGCATAACTTTCTTGGTATATATTGCAAATCTGTACGATGTGGATTCGATGTCCTCCCTTTAAAAGTATATTTTGCCGTTACCGTAGATTTTTTATTATGTCTATTAAAATTCTTGATTGTGTCTATTAAAACTACTGTAACGAAAACATCTGAACATGTTATAAGGAAAAAGCAGTATTTTAACAAGAAATTTATGATTTTAAATAGGTGAAGTACAGTGATAAAGGTATATCGTTTGACATCTTTTCTGAGATCGGTCTTGTCCTTCCTTTCATAAGAATCACCAATTCTGTTTTTTTTTTTATTTTTCCGGAAGTGCTAGCTTTATACTTCTTTCTTGGTTATAGACATTTTCGAATAGTGAGCGTGAACAGCGGGACATCCTAACGGTGGATGAGCAGCTATTAGTGCATGTTGATTCAGTCCACAATATACCACGAGAATGGTCACAGGAGTTCAGTTTATTCTCGGTTGCTGTCCATGTAATGCATGGAACAGCAGAAATATGTCGAGGTTTTAAAGAAAATCCTCGGCCTATCATCAATGATCATTTCTTCCCATACTGTCGAACTAATACTTGGGTTAGCGCTTTTTTCTATGATTTTTCCCATTATTGAGATATACTTCAATAATTTTATTCTAATGTCAAGGATCACATTATAGAACCAAGAAGAAAGTTAACATTAAAGGTGGCAGGTAAATTCAAGTTTCCAATCTGATTTTATTATTAAGTTTTAGGCATTACATATCCTTTCTTTACTATTCTATTCTGCAGAGAACATTGAATTTTCAGGCCTGTTTTCGCATCCCATTTTGTGTTTTACCTAGAGAAACGCGCATTTTTATCCTGCTTTATGGGACTTCACTTTCTGGTGATGTGAGTATGCTTTATTTATATGAACCTTATTTGCATAAGTGGGAATTTTTGTGATTTAGCATAAGTATAATTGTTTTCGGTGGTTCTTAATTATCAAATTTATTTTTCATTGAATATGCTTATAGCATGATCTGCAGGTTCATCCACCGAATGTGCCAACTGAAACGCAAACATTACTTGAAAAACAACTTGCTTGCGCTTCTTTCCCACTGTTCGATCACGAAGGGTCTGTTAATATCATGTTTCCATCGCTTCCTTTCAACTGCTTCATCATAAGTTGCAATGCTCTGACTTGGTTTTTTGAATTTACTAGGGCATTATTTTCAGACTGTAATTAAGGGTTTTTTGAGTAAAACATGGTCGAGCCTGTTTGACTATTTACTAATATCATTGAATTGATGATGCAGTGACAGACATGTCTTGAATTGTATCCCATGAATTATCTTTGAGCATATATCTTTATATATTTTTTTATATATATCTTTGATTAAATGTTTTAATAATGCTAAAATTATTACATCAATATCATAAAAAGCTCTTTTAGTTCCGTTAGAACTGATTATGTGTATAGCATAAAAATTATAATTTTCAATTCATGTTTTCATATCCAGCTTATTTAGCCTACTTCGACAAGGATCTCTTCTTTTGCCACTCTCTGCTATCAATGGAAAAGTGGTTTATCCATGGGGACCTCGACCATTGTTCGAAACGGAGGATGATCTCGTTGTACTTGTTACATTACCGCAATTACATTATGATGTTATCTTCCCATGTGTTAACTACGGCGAAAATAGGTGCTTATCTTTTGTATAGTTTTCTTAAATTTTTTTCAACCAAAATCAAAATTTTCAATTCGCAGCAGGGAAGGTTCTATTTTAGAGAATAGTTGTTTTTGACCGATGTCCTTCACTATGTATCTTGGGTAATTTAATGAGGAAACAAGAAATAAATAAATTCCGTTCAAATCAAAATCAGAAAGTGCGAAAGTTGTATTTTTTGCTGCACAGATAAGTCTCACTTTACATATCTGGTTTTTTTTTTCTTTTTGATAAAACAAATTTAGCTTTAAAATATTTGCAGTCTGAAACGCGATTTCAACTCTCTTGATTCGGATACACAGCAAAATTTACTGGATATTGTAGAAAGCGGAGTTACTCACAGGTTTGTGATAATTTATTTTTGCTTTTTCGTATGTATGCTTTAGTTAAGGGCGATCATGGATTACCCACATTGAACTATGTATTATGAGGATTAGGTGTCTTTTTTCGTAACAGGAACTATTCTGGAAGGCTGTCTTCCTTTTGTTCGTGTGCGGATATTTCATTTCCCTCCTGTATTCGCCAATTCATCTGTGCATCACCTCTGAATGTTTAAATAACTTAGATAATTTATTCTTGATCTTTTGATCATCAAATGTAGTTCCAAAAGAACAAGGGAGAGTTGTCTGTTAGTTGTATTTCAACTTTCAGTTTAACTGAGGATGAAAAGGAAGCGTTATGGGAAAAACGACATTATTTGACTCATATACCGGACGCATTACCTTTAGTGCTTGCTTCTGCCGTTGGTTGGGATTGGGCATCATTAACGAACATTTATCAGTTGCTAGATGACTGGATGCCGTTGAGTTCAGTGCAAGCGATCGAACTTCTTCTTCCACAGTAATTATTAATTAAATTTCAGTAATTATTAACTAACTAATTTTCGTAATCCAAACAAGTCTTAAAATTTCGAATGATTGGGTCGAAAATATGTTTGTCCAGAATTTGTTGATAAATTCCTTTTTCAGTTTTCCGGATCTCACTATTCGTTCGAAAGCTATATCATGGCTGAAAAATGCTTCGTCGGATTTTCTATTCAATTTCCTTCCCGAGTTGGTTGAGGTTGTTTTGTGTTTTTCACGTTTATTCATGTGTTTTAAGACACTGTTTGCTAGATTTAGAACTATCCAGCAGCTGGTATTTTTGGCCCGTGGGAACTTTTAATTTTTGAATTTTAATGGGCAGAGAGAAGGTATTCTAATATGAAATTCTGTATCAGCATATTATTCAAAACATCAGTGACTGTCAAAGTCTCCAGTTTACAAATACTGTTCCATCATAATGGATTAGTGATGGGTTTTCTCGACTGTGCGGTTTTCTGAGTCGTTATATTATTCAGTTATGTGTACGTTTATAGGCTTTGCGATTTGAGACATTTGAAGATTCTTCACTGGCTGTGTATTTATTAACGCTTTGTGCTGGCGATCGCCGTTTTGCTTTTGAACTTTACTGGTATCATTTTCGGCAAAATGTTTCCGATTGATATTAGCGCAACATCCTATGTTTTTTCGAAGAAATTACAAATTCCTTCAGATTTTATACAAGCCTTTGGAATTTTTCAGCAGTAAATTAGTGCCGATGTATTCCTGTATTTTTAGGCAGTTGCAACAGCGAATAGACCAATGTCAGGAAAGAAGTTACTCAAATCGTTGCAGTTTGCTTCAGCAACAAATTCTTAGGCTCTTAGATGATGAATTTGGTATTGATATAGAAAATCAGCATCGACTTTTACAAGCGTTAAATGTTGCTTCTTGTGAAATGAAAGAGGCCGGTGATGCTAGCAAAATGGTTCGTTATTTGAATTGCTTAAGCAAAGTTCAGCGGTGCAAACGGATTCTCTTCGTATTCCTTTTTTTCTTGTGCAGTGTTGCGTTAGTATTTCTTGTTATACGGTATTAAGACCTGTGAAATTCATGAGACTCGTACATAGCTTAAACTTTTAGCAATTAACTCTTCAACGGCATCTTGCTTTGTTAGATGCTCGAATTCTGGAAAACAATGTACGACTTCCTCTTTTACCATCGTTTTTATGTACTGGTATAAGTGTATCAGAATGCAGTTACTTCAATTCACTGACAAAGCCAATAAAAGTAACATTCAAAGGCTTGAAAAGTTCATTTGCGATTCTGTATAAGGTAGGCTTTCTTTTCTCATTTTTTTTCTACATATTACTACTGTATAGCAATTTCTTTATTGAATTGTGGTTTTAAGTTGTTGGTCTACTAATTATCGATATTTGTATGTTTTGTTCTAATGTTTTATGAGCTCCAACTTGCATGTTGCAGGTTGGCGATGATATGAGGCAAGATGCACTCGTCTTACAATTGGTGAAAGTGATGAATGACATATGGTTGAGTCAAGAGCTCGACCTCAGAATGGTCATTTTCCGCTGTATTTCATTTGGGAATAAAAGTGGTACGGTATTTTTGATTTTGTAAAATTACTTGGTATAGTAATTGCTCTTTTGAATTTTGTTCTAACTTTTATGGAATTTTTTTTTTTTTTTTTTTTTAGAAATCATATTTTAAAGGAATGGTCGAACTGGTTCCTGATTGCCGTACACTGTGCGAAATTCAAAGTGCTGTTGGTGCTACTGGTGTGTTTAAAGACGATCTGCTCAAAAAGTGGCTCGAAATGCATAATCCTTCAGAATTTCAATATAAAATAGTAATTTTTAATTCTTTGTTCGCTTCCAATCTGTACTGTTTATGAATATTGAAATATGTAGATTAATTTGGGTAGGTCTATAATTTTTAACGGGATAACTGAAGAATTGGTTAGTTAAATTTGATTGGTTTAAAATCATTATTGCTGGATTTTATTTCTTCAATGAAATAAATTGCAGGCACTAGAGAATTTTCATTTATCTTGCGCCGGTTGGTGTGTTGCCACGTATGTACTCGGTATTGGCGATCGGCATAATGATAACATATTGGTTACTAGGACGGGTCATGTTTTCCATATTGATTTTGGCAAATATATGGGTGATTGGCAAACGGCTGTTGGATTCCGAAGGTTAGTTTCATTTGCGAAACAGCTTTTCTCTCTTTGAATTATCATTGCTTTCAAAAAAAACAGAATTTGTTTGCAGAGATCGCACACCTTTTATTTTTACCAGTGATATGGCTTACGTCATCAACGAAGGTTCTCCTCAGTCAGCAACAAGTCGTTATCAGCACTTTGTTGATAATTGTTGTAAAGCTTTCAATTTACTACGAAAAAAATATTCGTTACTCGTAAATCTCATGAAAATGGTATGTGAATAATTGTTTCAAGAAGTTATTACTTCCTTTCCTCTCTTGTACAAAGTGTTATTTTCTGGACCAAACTGCAGACACTAGCGCTATCATGAACTGTAAGACATGAATATGTAGTCTGAGGGGCTTTATTTCTCTACTGTGTACTGCAATATATTATAGATTATTCTGACATCGAGTTTGTTTTTTTTTTTTTTTTTTTTTTTTTTACATTCGTGGTGAAAATAAGATATTTATCACTAAAAAAACAAGCTCACACCCGTCGAATTGATTTCATATTTGTCTGTTATAGATGTCTTGTTCGGGTATTGCTGGCATGAATTTAGAGGCTGTCAATTTTGTACAAAGCAACTTGCTCCTAAATTTAACTGATACCCAAGCAACTGTTCAGTTTACACGAATGATTGAAGAAAGTTTGAAAAGCAAATTTCCTCGGTAAAATTTGCTGTATTTGCAAAATAAAAAAATAAAAAAAAATTATCTGCCTAAAATTTTCGGAGATCAGGCGCCGCTCCAAAATGATTTTTTATGTAATATAATTATGAGTTTGTGAATCATTTAATTCTGTTTCAGATTAAATTTTCTTGCTCATACTTTGGTACAGATGAGGGGTACTCCATCAATGTTACGAGGAGGATACGATGACCCCAATAAACTTTCCTTCATTCAGCAGTTATATACGTAAGTTGTGAGAAAACGGCATTACCATATTAAACTTCTAGATTATTACCATTTTTTCCACAAGCATAAATCGTCTCAGTTGTTGGATTTGAGTTCGATTGTGGAATGCAATTATCCAAAATTTACCGGTGTTTGGAAGAACATAACTGCTGGGATATTTATTTCAGAATGAAAGATGACGGTCGTATCACTAGAGTCGATGTATTGGCGTTCGAGAAATGGCATATACCAGAAAAAGTTTATGTAAAGCTTAGAAAGTTTATGTAAAAGTTTAAAAGTTGAAAGTTTATGTAAAGTTTGGTGTTTATAAGGAGTTTCTTAACACAATTTCGAGTAAATGATTGGTGAAATATTACTCTGACACAAATGAAGGGTCGTTTTAATAGATGTACAAAGTCGAAGTAAACCGAGAGAACGAAGCAGTCTGCGGTATTGTGTATAGGTCATTTGTGGAATTCAATGAGCTCTATATCAAACTATGCAGGAGGTGAGTATAGTCAGAAGAGATAGCATTCAAATCAGCTAGTAATTAGAATTTTCTCTAAGCATGTGTGATTGATAATAGGCAGAAAGTTGTGATATTAGCACAAATGACTGTCTGTGTTGTCTGACTAAATGAACAAAATCAAAGAAGAAAGTTAGTTTCTTTCGAGATTGTTTTCATCGTTAAGATCATCCCTTATACGGGTTTCGGAAATTTTACGTGTTATATTTAGTGCTTTTTCTTATAGTATTGCCATGTTCCATGCTGATAAAATCGGAGAGTAAGGGATCTGATATATTACCACTTATTGTTTGATTAATTATTTATTATTACTTTCGTCATTCTTATTTCACTGTCAGATTTCCATTCGCACATCTGCCACCACTCTCGCAAGGGACGAATGTTGGTCGCTCAAATATACGCAAAGTTGCAGAAAGAAGACAAGCTGACCTGCAACAGTTCCTAAATGTGCTTTTTGAATATCATCCTGAGGTGGCAAGTGTAAGTAACTTTTATGTGTTTGTCAGTTATAGTAGGAAGTGATTAATCAGCAATTTCCGAACTGCATTCGTAGTGGCAAAAGAAAACATCTATACAGTTTCAATAACTACTTACTGTTATGATAGAGAGTTGGTTGAGAACTTATTCAGAGTGATTTGGTCTATACATTCTTCCATATCATTTTCCGTGATAGCGCACCTGACGAGTCGAATCAATTTTTGCAGCTCACAAAAGGTTGGATTTCTTCCCTATTTCGTTCACTGGAATAAAATGATGAAAATAATATGAATAATAAAAAATAATAAAATAATGAAAATAAAATATTTAATGAAAATAATTTTAAATTTTGATGCTGTGAGAGTATTTTAATTGCTTTTCAAAAGGAAAGCCATCCTATACATGTAAACTGCAGTAGATGAGGACGACATACCATCGAAAAAAGTAACTGGCCGTATCTTTTTGAGACTTACTTATGACCAACAGGATGGAAATTTGAATGTATTCGTTGGCCACGTTAGAGGATTAAAGATCATTAACGGTCAGGCACCAGATTCTTATGTCAAAACGTGAGTGATTTGCAATTATATTCCTGATCTGATTTACACATAGAAATGTTGCGTGTTTTAACGGAGGTTTTATTAGATTTGATTGTTGCAGATATCTACGTCCCGACCCGCAAAGAAGTTCAAAACGAAAAACGCATGTCGTTAAGAATACTCAAATGCCAACATTTAATGAGGAGGTTTGTAGTTATAGTTTATTATTAGATAGCTTAGCAATTAGAAGGATTAAAATTGGTTTAATGATTGGCATTTTTGATTATGATAGATTATATGTATTTTTTAAAATTATGATAGAGATTGACCATGCTTAGCAATTAAGTGTACATTAGAAAAATCATCAAATATCACAGTTGATCGATTTTTTTTTTTTTTTTTTTTTTTTTTTTTTAAAGATAATAACTGGATGTTTAAAGAAAATACTGAATGCCGAAGACTTTGAAATTTATAAATTTTTAGCTAAATTACCAATTATTGTCTGACACGAATTTGGTTAATCGGGCACTAGAAGTATCGGTCTGGAACTGTGGTTCTTTGGTTGGCGAAAATTCAGTGATTGGTTTCGTGCATATTCCACTGCGTAAACTATTGGATACTCCGACGGATCGTAAAGGGATTCAAGTTCTGGATGGTTGGTTCAATTTGAGAACAGGTTCGCGCTAAATATGCTTTTTTGAGGTGGATTTGTTGTTCACTTTTAAATTAAGAAAAAATGAGCCGATTAATAAATATGTACATAATTTTGAAGCATTTATTCCATTTTATGCTTTTGTGTCTTGTTCTTCCTCTGTCCTTTTCTCTTTTCGAAAGATTGGCAGTTTGCCGCGTATTTTTGACTATTTAAAACAATATTTCATTCATGTAAATTATTTCTACACTGTCTATGAATATCATTTGAATTTACTGGTTGTAGTATTTTGCTGTTTTTATAAAAAGCAGTAATTAAGCATTAGTTTATATTTCAAATTATGATATAACAAATAGAATAATACCAAGCTTTGTGGTGAAAGTAAGGTAATGTGAAGTGTAATAATCCTCAATTTAAATCACTTTAATGTTATTCAAACGTTAACTCAAAACTTTCTAGCTCTAAATTCAGAATAATTTTCTTCAATGTGAATATACAAAATTGTCACCACTATCGACTCGTTCTAATGTAGATTTTTTATCTGTTGACAGTAAAAATGGTTGCTTTTACTGTTCTAGAATTGGATGACATTGTAGGAATAATAAATTTACCGACCTTATCTATTTTATGCAGCACATTTACTTAAATTAATCTTCAGTATAATAATTTGCTTTTATTTTTCATCAACTGAAACTTTTGAGTTTCTTTATCTCCAGTTTTTTCCTTGATGATGGATGTGACATCATCGAATAGAGTCTTTCATCACATTTCAAATTCTCTTGGAAGGGATGTCAGGTGATAGTTTTTTGATATGTTTGCTGTATATATTATATGAGGGATAAAAATATTTTAGAATCATTCCAATCTATGTAATTAATTCATAACGATAATTTCCTATCGTTCTATGTATGTTATATACTTGTATTGTTGTAAATGTTGAGCGTTGACCCCTAAGCAACGATCTTTTTTCCGTTTTCATATCTTGATTGTCAAAATTTAGAGAGAATATAAAATGTGAAATTAGCTGGTAGTAACTACAATTGTATTTTGAAATACTGCACCTCTAAATTTAGACTTAGCATCGGTTTTTCATCATGTTCCATAAGCAGCATTTAGTATAATTCCGGATGTCAAGAGTGTTTTGATTCAACTTTTAAGGCATTTTTAATGATGAAACTGATTACTGGAGAGAAATGTGGGATATACAGACTTGCCATCTTGTAAAAATACAATTGCAATTTTGTTTAAAAAAAAAAATTTATTAGAAAGCACAAAAACTGAACATCAGGTTAGCAATAAAAAAAAAAGGAAAAAACAGGAATTAACTGACATATCACTTTTTCACTGAAATTACGTCCTGCCTTTCAAGGATAGGAACGTGAACTGTTATTCATTATATGCTCAATCGGCATGTTCTGCTCATTGGTTTGCTCATAACACGTCTCTGGAGGAGCCGTTCCATCTGGAATTCCAATAGGATTTCCGACGCCAGACCCATCATAATACTCACCGTATCCTAAAACTGTGGTTTTCGATGACAAAAAAATCAGCTTGAGAAATTATTACTTGCTTAAAATCGAACTGATAGATGAATGAATGATTGAATAACACAAAGATATATTTCAGATAAGGGAAAAACTTGATGAGAAGTTTACTTATTACTTTAAAATATATCAAGCTAAGAATGTGTTTTTATTCTTTTCACACATCTCCCCTAAACAGGGATTATCTTGAGAAAGATTAATTCACAAAGACAGGAACGATACATTCGTGAATGAAAATTGGAAGAAGTGAAACTAAGATGCAATCTAGGATGCTAAATCTGATGAAAAAGCAACGGAGCAGTGTGACTTTCTATGATTTAAATTCAACCTTGCATCTGAGCAAATGACACATTGTCCGCAACCATTTGAACGTTTCGCCATATTTGCGACATCATTTGTGCATTGTTTATTTGATGCATCTCAACTTTTTGATGAATTAAGTGAATCCCATTGGAAACCGAATTTAGTGTCTCCTTAATCGCTCGTATATCGTCAGAAATTCCGTTGCACCAACATGTTGAAGGTGGCGGATTATGCACTGGCATATCTGAAAGTTGACAATTTTATAAAATTTATTTTTTCATCAACTTATAGAATAATAGGAAATTCTTTGTACACATAGGGCGGTTCACACTGCCGATCACTACTGGATGTGTCATATTCGGACGACAACTATGAGCCATATACGGTTGTTGCACGTGAGGACGGTTCGGTTGATCGAAGACGACATTCGGTGGAGTATCCTCAACGTTGCTAACTAGCGGAACACCTAAACATTTACCAAAAAATGGCCATCAAGAAATGTACAAAGTTGCCATTCTTATCTATTATTATTATTATTATTATTATTATTATTATTATTATTACCTAGACTCTTAAATCATTTTCACACTTTGCAATACGTAAATAACCAGTTGCTATCTAATCATCACTAACGGTTAGTCTTGTACATTTTTCAACCTAATTCTTTCATTGTTCAATTAATTACACGTGTCTTGCATGTTTCAATTTGTCACACGTAATATTACATGTGCATATAAATAATAAAATTGAAAGTGAAAAGACAAACCAGTATTATTCGAGTTATTGTTGTTGATTCGGTTCTTTTTCGTTGCGTTAGAAGCACGTGGCTTGGGACGTACTATACGTGCATCATCTATAAAGAAGATATATGACATTTTAAAATTTCAGATGAAAGGTTTGGGATCATCTCCATTTCTTGTTTTTTTATGTGTACCATAGCTTATTTCAGTTAACAATATATAATAGATAAATGCTATATTTTTGTTAAAATATCAAAACTATTTTTGAAATAGTTGAAGCATTTCATTTTTATGAAAAGAAGTTAAATTAAATAATTTTTACCGTCCATAATGCGCACTACTTCACCATTGTCCACAGGAGCTGCGACATTTCCAGTCTGTTGTTTAGCTGACATTCCTAAAAATGCATTCGAATCATTTTCAAGTGATACAAAATACGGTACATAATAAATCCTTTTCTTTTCAAGCTAATAACTTCCTCCCATTTCACTGTAAAACAATCCGTAAGCATATATGAACAAAAATATAGGACCACCACCTATCCAACTTTCACTATTACCAAACAATAACACTTTCATCCCAATTATGAAATATAAATGTGAGTCGAAAAATTTGCATATTATAACGTCTTCCTTACTGTCTTCTATTGATGTTCTGAATTTGCTTCCTGGTTGGTTGCACAGTTAATGATTTAGAATTAATTTGCCAATAAGTGAGGAATATCACAGGGATGAAGAATATTGGTCGTTCAAAATCACGCATATTTGCTGGAAGAAGACAAGCTGACCTGCAACACTTCATAAATGTGCTTTTTGAATATCATTTTAAGGTGGCAAGTGTAAAAATTTTTATTTTATCTGTTTATCAGTTATAGTAGGTAAACAGCAGTTTTCGAATTTAATTCGTAGTAGCAGAGGAAAACAGTTTGAATTATGTATATAACTTCGGTAGACTTCTTATCGATGTGAAGGAGTGATTTAATCATTATTCCATATTATTTTTCACGAAAGTGTACCTGACAAGTAGAATGCATTTTTGTAATTGACGAAAGGTTGAATTTTTTTCCTCTTTTTGTTCACTGGGACAAAATAATGAAGATAATCTTGGTAAAAATAAAACTAATTTTATTAGTCTTTTTTACAAAAGGAACTTCACTCTATACATGTAAACTGCAATGGAGAAAAATTATTTATTATACAGATGATTTCTCCTTTATTAAGTGATCTGTTATCACTAACTAGCAAATGACTTATAAAGAATTTATTTGTAGTAACCACAAACTTACAGATGATTTGTTCAATGGTAATTAAGTAATCTATTATCACTAAGCGACAAATATCTGCAGCGTTCGGATTTGTGATGAGTTAGGCTGTTAATTTCAAGAAAATGAAATAATACGATTTTTACTGGAAATAGTTGTTTTTCACGATTTACCTTATGGTGATGGAACGATTTGCGCCACATTGGACTGCTTGATTTGGTAGTAAGACTGGGATTATCCGTGTCAGTTTAACTTACAGTGAAACAGCAGACTGTTAAGTTTTTGATTATTTAGTTCCTAATTTCCGCATTTTGTTTTGTGCTTTATTTACAAAATACATAAAAAGAAAGGAACGCAAATTTTATGATAAGAAAATTTGTGGATTTCATTTTGTTTTCAAGAATACACTTTTTTATTGGTTATCACTGTAGTACCTTCTTTGCGCTATTCCTCAGAATCAAGGGGTTCTCTCCCTCAACATTTCTCTCACAATGTTACTTTTAATGAGGACAGAAAATTCAGTTAAGAAAATTGGAGATTAAGAAGTGGTAAATGATATTTTAATCTACGTCTGGTAATAGTATATCAATTTTTGATACAATTATATTGATGAAGCATCTTGGCTCACTTATGAAGTAATGATCAAAGGTATTGGCAGGGAAGTATTTATTGTGCAGTTATACTTCATAAACTTCAGAGAAGGGTGCTTTCCTAGATAAGACTTACCAAAAAAGATTCCATTACCTTTCATCACCTTCCTAATCCATCCACCTGAGATGATTCATTATTGGAATTCTGCTTCAGTTGAAACATCACTGTTATTTGATGTTTACTTGACGTACTCCAGTTGGAAGCAATGCCACTCACTGAATGGTCTAATGACCTTTGTTTGCCCATTACTTTCGCTGGCCAGTAAAAATTTCTGACAAGAAAATTGACAAAAATGACAAGTAAATTTAATGAGAGCATACCTCTGCAAATTAATTTCCTGAAGCTGAATTACCTAAATGTTTGAATGACAGCCTTTTGGATTGGATTTCTGCTTTGATTGGAACATAATTCGTATGTCTTCGTGTGGTACTAACGACTGTTTCTGGAAATTGATTAGTTTCTTGAATATTTGCTACGTTCGAACATGAACAAATCCAAAATTCTTATTTTTTCTTGCCTTCAAAGCAACTTCCTGT